AGTGACGCTTGACGAAGGTGGTCTATCGCACATGATGGTTAGTCGATGTTGATGCGTGATGGGGATCGCTTCATATCTCTCAAGAATCGACTTGACGGAGTAAAGCTCGACGGTCGTTGATAACATCGCGAAAGAAATGTTGCGTCATAGGATCCTACACACCTTTCCGGTACCACCGTCACCGACAAGCACGAGCTTGAAGGTAGGAGTCTGCTGCTCAGCCATCTTGATGGTTGTGTCTGTGGTGTTGTAGCGACAGATGCAGAGGATGTAAACAAGCGGGGTGCTGAGAGGCGTGAGTTAGCTTCTGTTGAGCGGTCGGCAACAGCGCAAGGCGATCGATCGAATGGGTATGGAATGAGATGGACGTCGGTACGAAGTGATGCTGAGGGAAGGGATCCTAAATACCTGAAAAAACCGTTGTTGACAATGTGGGTATACCCAAGATTGATTGACAAACTTTCAAGGTCGACCTGATGTTTTGAAGGCGGCGGGGGACTTTGGGCAGGGAAGGACCTCAAGCGAAAAATTCAGTCGCCCCTACCTACCTTGGAGTGGATAGGCTGCACGTGATACCCGCCCATTCAGTGCCTCCAGCCTGCTGCGAGTGATCCACCTTATGGCCTTCCATCACCAGCCATTACCGTCACCGCCTTGGAGCAATTCTGTGTTGTTATTGGGCACCGCTCAATCGATTCGGTCTTCTGCGTCTTCCTGTTCGCTGGCTCGATCCGTGCTGGGCTGCCTAGTGGTGCCTTGCTTGTTCGTCATTTTTCTTTGTGAGGTGATCTAAATGCTTGTAAGTCAGGCCTTGATCCATGCTTGCACCCCGATATCATGGATCGGGTGAGCTGGCTACCTTGCTCCATATTCTTTTGCATCAATATGATTTAGTCAGCATTTCCAGGCGCTCTCTAGTCATCTTTAGGTACCAATTCGTGCTGGGTATTACGAGCTTTTATTGGTCATTTTTACTCTTCCTGCAAGCTTTCTTGCTTCATCAATACTCAGGCTGTCATCAATGAACCTTGTCGTCATCTGACAAACAACTTTCCATATCTGTTGGCCACCTCTTATCATGAGGCCATATACGGATTCCATGAGAGTGTCCAGCACACCTTGACTGTTTTCTAGACAACAAATACAAGGGCCATTGCTAATCTGCTGGCACCAACGAATACATACCTCATACAAAGTACCTTGATTAACATATTGTTAAATGATCATATACTAGTAGCATATGTGAGGCCGCCTTCGACCAGTTACACATTTCCTCAAATTATGCCTGCCTACCTGCCTTACTTGGCTGTACTCCAGTCGAATGATAATCTAGCCCCTAGGTCATTCGAAGGCTGATAACCCTCGTGTCAGGAGAAACAAATAAGCTGGTTGACTCACTGACCAAAACTGCACCATAGTACACTACTTTACTTATCTAGGTCCTTTTATTTATTCCGGGTCAAAGTCCTAAGGTCTCTATCATCTGCTGCTAGTCAATTAGTAAACCCAAGGATTTTACTGGATTACGCAGAGAACCGCATGTATGAGCTCGTTCAATCACAATGTATCAAAAAATGTTTCGTTATATCAGCATGAGACATAGTCCTATATGATCCACTTTTGTCTTCGCAAATTAGGGTGCGGTTGTTCTACTCATATATATCATGAGAGAAGTGTTTGGATAGCGGCGAGGTTTGAGGCCTTATGCTAGAGAGCCATTGGTTGCAAAGCACACAAGTAACCGGATATAGGCCAAAACACAAGTCTTTAGATAAATCGCCTCGATCTAGTAAAACCAATAATTTACCTCGCCCGGAGTGATTAGGCATAGGCTTTCTGGTTTATCATGGCTTTCGCGACTACTCGACTTATAGAGGCAAGATATGGCAGCCCAACAATCCTCGCCCACCCCAGTCCTTTCGTGGAGTCAGGGTCAGTCGCAACTCTTGCCGCTCGGCCACACCATCTGGCCTCGACACTTTGATGAAAACGTTGTTCTAATGTATTGTCAACTGGCGGCTTTCGTGTACAATATCGGAGCACAAACTTACCCCTTCGTTACCCTGGACACACTCGGCCACCTTTCTGAGGTTGTCGTGGTTGGCTCGATTCACATAACCAAAGTTCCGAATTTCGTCTCCAGGTTTCAGGCCGGCGGATTCTGCTGGACTTCCTGCAGCTACGGTGTTGATTTTGGCAAAAGGAGGGTCTAACGGTGTAGAAACTGAGTCTGGCAAGATGCCTCGTGAGTGACTCGAGCTTGCAACTGGCGCAGATTCATTCTCATCAAGACTCGCAAAATGCTCATGGAGGAATTTCTCAACCCGTGTCATGAGAGCGGTATAGTCATTCCGCAGTCGAATGATGCGAGCTCGTGTAGTCCGGACTGTCACGCTGTTAGTGGTCGAATCTTGAATCTGGATATAGTGAAGTACTTTGAGCAACGTCAATATCCGCTCGAGGAAAACCATCGTTTGTTAGGAGAGAAGTGTTCATATCAACCCCATGCTATAATTGTGTTAGAGCATGATAAATGTTATTTCGTAAATTTCGCAAATACCGAGTCAAGCACCCCTCCTAAAGCCTTGAGTTCGGCCTCAATATCGTCCTTCTTTCGCTGCAACTCTGCAAAGCTTAGATGCCCCGCATCGCCATTTGTGACAGGAGCAGTGGTTTCCCCAGAGGGCACTGTCGGCGCGTGTAGATTTTCCATTGTTGGAATGGAGACACAGACAAGTAAAGTTTTTGAAACGGGGAGCTTCCTATGTTGTCGGCAAAAGGTTTGAATGTGAAGACGTCTTTGTCCCAGGCTGCGAAGGGTGACGCCGCTTAGACGGAGCTTTCAGGACTCTTCAGTGTACATCCTCCCTACAACAAAAGAAGTGCAGGGGGCCTGTTTGGTGGTGTGCGTAGGGAAGCCCGCGCTCCATGTAAAATACTGGTCCGTGCACATACACTACCCGGCATTCTGCATGAGGCTCCGAGCTTGTGCTGGCGACGTCACTTTTCTTCCCTAGCAACTTTTTCTCAACAACGCGTCTCTTCATACTACAATATCAAACTGCTATTGCGACTTCTCCAATATGGCCACTGGGGTAGATGCGCGACTTTTGAAGTCGACCAGATTCCCTCCCGAGTTTAGCCAGAAGGTTGACATGCAAAAGGTTAATTTGCAAGTCATGAAGAAGTGCGTGATCTGATTGCCAGCCTCGTGTTACAACGTGCTAACTCCTCCATTCAGATGGATCGCCAGCAAAATTTCCGATATCCTGGGAAGCGAAGATGACGTGGTTATCGAACTTGTCTTCAATCTCATCGAAGGACCGCGATACGTATGTTTACCGAACCCCGACTAGTCCAGAATGCTGATAGGTACAATAGCCGGATATCAAGTCGCTTCAAATACAACTAACAGGTTTTCTTGACAAGGACACGGCTGTGTTCTGCAAAGACCTGTGGAAGTTATTGCTGAGTGCCCAAAGCAGTCCCCAAGGCGTCCCTAAGGAGCTCCTCGAGGCCAAGAAGCTGGAGCTTATCCAAGAGAAGGTATGCCAACCCCTAATCCTGTACAGTTCGATCCCTGATGGCTTTTGATCCAGATTGAGGCAGACCGCGCTGCAGAAACTGCTAAGCAGAGACGAGACGACTGGGATCGCCGTGACCGTGAAGTAGCCGATCTGAAAGACCGCGACCGCCGCGACCGGGCTGCTGCTCGTGGAGATACCTGGCAAGGGCGCCGAGGTGACCGTGATTTCGAAAACCGGGGCAGAGGGGGTTTCAGGAGGGGAGGTCGCCGATCAAGATCGCCTGGCCCTCGCTTCCGTGATGCCAGGGACTCGTATGGGCGTGATAGTTACATTCCACGAGGAAGGCGTGGTGGTGGACGCGCCGACCAAGGCCGACGAAAATCACCCCCTCGATCACGTTCGGAATCTGCCTCGCCCAGGCCGAGCTCAAGAAGTCGCAGCGCCTCCCGAAGCACTGATCAATCGAATCAACGACGAAGACCTGTCTCTCCTGGGGGACAAGCTGACACACACAAGAGGTCGCGATCACCCAGAGGAGATACATATCGGGGTCGGGCAAACAAACGTACTGAGAGAGATCGGCCAGCTCGTCCATCTCGATCTCTGTCTTCGGAGCGAAATTCTCCTGCACCAAAGCGCAGACGTTACTCTTCATCAAGGAGTCGTTCTGTAACTCGCCGAAGACGACCGGCTAGAAGCATCTCCTCATCGCGATCCGAACGAACATCAGACTCCCGTAGTAGAAGTCGAAGTCGCAGTTATAGCCGCAGCCGCAGCCGTTCCAGCAGCGCGTCACCGGACTGCAGGACCAAAAGACGACCGAATCATGGACGTGGTGGCCAGCAGCCCTCTAGGAAGAGAGATTCGCCTAAGAGTAGACGGCGAAATAGTTCTTCAGCTTCTTCGCGATCAAGGATTCGAGAAAATTCAGCTGATGTTTCTGAAGATGAATCTCGTGCCCTGCCGACCAAACCCGAGGCAGAGGTTCCGGCCGAATGAAGTATCTGAGGTCAGTTGGCCATAGTGTCTTGAACCGGCACAATCACTGACTTGCTTTGTTCGCTAAGATTTGACCTTGCTCCTTGCAACGCCTGCGCCACCAGGACGAGGATGAGAGTGATCGAGGTTGTCTTCTTTTGGGGAAACCTAAGCTAACAATTTCTTCAAGCCCTTTTTGAGCCATGAGCATAACAATCATGTTTACAATTACTGACTTTACGGCGTTGGAAAACAGGAGCCTATAGAAAAGCTTTCTTTGTAGGATATCGAGAGGACCAAGAACACACATAACTATCAAATTGAAGCTTTTATCAAGTTCGAGCACCTATAATCAGCAAGTGAAAGCGTTCAATCTGTAACCATACTGGAGACAGGAGAGCGGAAGGCTACCGAATCCCTGCCTCAGAGATATAATCTGAGTATCGAGCTCCACTACCACAGAACTCACTACACCAGGTTCAACCTGGCGATCTTCCGTAGTATAGTGGTCAGTATGCAAGCTTGTCACGCTTGAGACCCGGGTTCAATTCCCGGCGGGAGAGTTCCAGCCACCTGCGATACACAGGATTTCATTTTTTTGCTTCATTTACAACCTTGATCATTTTCGTTGTTGTTGTTATGTGGTTTAACCCTTGATTTAACCGAGATACATAAGCGTCTAACGCGGCTCCCCGCGCTTCCTTTTAAGCGCACCGCATTATCCAATCGCAACCTAACTTGTATTCTTGTTATCAAACGCGACCATTCATCATCTCATTTGACGAGGACATTCATCGAGTATTGAACCACAATAACGCCGACCTGCCGAGATAACAACGCGCATGGCTGAGAGAAAGCCATCAAACGGAGCTGTAGCTGGTACTGGACAAGTGACGATGTCCGAGTACAAGAAGGCGCAAGCCCGGGTTCGGGATCTGGTCGAGAAGCGCAGAATGCTAGAGAAACGCTTGGTGCGCATTTGCCACTGAGTGTAAACTGTGTTGGAATTCGGCTGAGATTTTTATAGACACAAGTTGAAGACAGCATCTCCCAGAAGGAGACTGCATACCTCGACAGCACACCAAGCGGCAACATCATCACCGGTTTCGACAACTACATGAAGGGCATGAGTGGTGCGGCAGCACAGCGACGAAAGGCTGGTCCGATGGAGCAGAACAGAGTCTTTTCACGATCGTCGATTTCCTACCGACCTAACAATCTAGTATGGATGAATATCAGTTACAACATCACACAGGATATGCTAATCATGCTTTTCGTAGGAGGGTATCACACCCGGATCAGGAGGCTCGACGCCAGCTGGCGCGACACCATTATCCGCCGCATTTAGAGACGGACCCTCGAATCACCCGACACCGACATCTTCGACTGCGGCTAAGAACGCAAGCAAGTCGAAGAAGAAAACGGTCGAGCACGAGGACAGCGAAAACGATACTTCGACGAGCAAGAAGCGAACGAATTTTGGAGCGCAGCGCAAGTAGCGTATGTACAAAGATGTACTCATGAGATTGGGCGTTTAACAGGGAATGGATTCAACGGTAGGGTCAGGATGGCGTTAGGATTCATATTATAGATCGCCCTCGAAACAGAAGGCGGCTTGGAACTGAGGCTATGGTAGGTTCAGGCTAGAAGTAGCACGAAAATATGCCATTTATAATGGAGGCTATTAAGCATTTTGGAACCGTCGAGGTACCAGAATACTCAAAGAGTTTGCGTCAAAGAGCATACATAGTTCATCCCAGCGTGCCCTAGAATATCCTCAACCTACCTAAGTTATCTCAATATTTCTATCACTCAAGATCAAAATGTCCGTTTTTCTGCCATCATCTCAACAAGTAAGGATCCAATTGCTTGGTGTCAGATCGCCTATAAACCTCACGGTAGTTCTCCCGTTACTGGGAATTGCCTTAGGGGTGAAGTTAGATTCAGTGTATGGTCTCCCAATTGTCGTTACATATGTTTAGGCCGTGTGTCATGTCTTGAAACCATTTTAAGCTATCCCACGTCAACATGGACGAGATCGAAGCGACGTCGCGACGTCCGTCAAATACGGTTGTGGTTAATCGCAGCGGTTGCAGTGAGATTATACCTTGATTAACCCTTCAACTTGTATAGATGCATGTAAAGGGATTACTGTAATAAAGTAAAATTCCCAGGCCAGTATTGTTGTGAACTTTTGATTTGAAGGTTAGGTAGCACTAATGGTAAAGGAAGGTAGCATGAGCAGTGGATTCACCGGAAGAGAGGGGCCGAGCGGGCGGCTGGTCATGAGAATGAGGAGTCGTGAGGGGGAACCCATGCCACTAGCACTTATAGGTGTTCGTTCTGCATACCTGGGCTGGTTGTATGATGAGTGTGTCAACTGGACGCAGAGGTTCTTGATTCTCCTCTCTTCAATATCCCAAGAGTTCTTTACTTCGTTGTTTCCCCATCACCTCCAATTACTAGCACCGCATTCTCTCCCTCTCTGTCTCCATGATGACGAGGCAGGCCACGCGGTTCACACCCGAGGTGCTGATTTCGGCCCCGCGTCGTTCAACTGGAGTCCCAAACTCCACTGGGGAGCTCGTTCTCTATACGGTGAGTTGGAGCTTGGCAATGCCTTCAATTGGTTGTGTCAAACTCATGCTAACATGTTCAGATCTCGTCGTACTCATTCGAGAGCCACTCCAAGTCGTTCCAGATCCGTGTTCTCAATATCAAAGATGACTCTTCTCATCTCGTTTCCGAGGACGCCCATGTTAGCGATCCTATTTGGATTGGAGAGAAAGAAATTGCTTTGATTAGAACAAATGATAACGGCTGCTCATCTCTCTACCAGCAGCATGTCTTGGATGGTTCCGAGTGAGCATATATCAAAGGCAACATGACGTCTCCAGGGAGCTAATAGATGTACCAGGGCACGCTTGATTAAATCTTTTGCAGGCAGCATCTCTAACCCAAAGGCAAAAGCATTATCTGATGGCAAGGTTGCGTTCATTTGCTCCGCAGTGACTACACCCAAGGGCAACATGTATTGGCAGGCAACCGAGCCCAAGACATATACAACTGCTAAGATATATACTGGCCTTTTCGTTCGCCACTGGGATACCTGGAACACCGAGAACCAGAACTCGCTTTGGTACGGCGTGATTACCAAGAAAAATGGTAGATGGGTGTTTGAGAAGGATGGGCTCACAAACCTCTTGGCCGGTACGCAACTGAGCTCACCTGTCCCTCCTTTTGGTGGAGCAGGGGACTTTGACATCTCAGAGAATGGAATCGCCTTCGTTGCTAAGGATCCAGAGTTGAACCCGGCGAGAAACACCAAGACAGATCTGTACTACGTACCCATCAGGTCTTGGACAGACAAGCCTCCTCAGCCACAGATCGTCAAGACTGGACGGCTGCGCGGCTATAGTAGTGCCCCTACTTTCTCCAATGACGGCAAGAAGTTGGCATTTGCTAGAATGAAGCACCAGCAGTATGAATCTGATAAGACAAGACTGCTGTTGATCCCCAACGTGGACGACTTAAGTAACGTTCAAGAGTTTTACCAGACAGACGATGACGAGGGCGGTTGGGATTTGAGGCCTGATTGGGTTATTTGGAAAAAAGACGACACTGAGCTGTATGTTGCGGCTGAGAAACATGGGAGATCAATGCTTTGGAAGCTACCATCTGATACTCTGAAAGCTCGTGATCTTCCCGAGGCCATTCACAAAGAAGGGTCTGTCGTTGAGGCCCACACTCTGGAAGGCAGTGACTCTCTTCTCATTACATCCAAGTCGCGAATCGAGAGCTCGAGCTACGGAGTCCTGGACCCGGAGACCAAGGTTGTTAAAGTGATCTCCACCAGTTCCAAAAACGGCAAGACATTCGGCCTCTCCACGTCTCAAGCAACCGAGATATGGTACCCCGGGTCGGCCGGCTATGATAACCACGCTCTTGTGATGCTGCCTTCCCACTTCGACAAAAGCAAGAAGTATCCTTTGGCCTTCCTAATACATGGCGGCCCTCAATCAGCATGGACAGATGATTGGAGTACTCGCTGGAACCCGGCCATCTTCGCTGAGCAGGGCTATGTAGCTGTGTGCCCCAACCCCACCGGCAGTACTGGATACGGGCAAGCTCATATTGATGCGATTGCCAACCACTGGGGAGGTGCCCCATACGAAGATCTGGTGAAGTGCTTTGAGTATCTCAAGAATCATGTTGATTATGTTGATACTGATCGAGCTGTTGCTCTGGGAGCCTCATACGGTGGATACATGATTAGTGAGTTCAAACGCTCTTGGGCATTAGTTGCTGGAGTTATACTGACATGAGGACAGATTGGATTCAAGGTCATGATTTGGGCCGCAAGTTTAAGGCTTTAGTGTGCCATGATGGCGTCTTCTCAACACAAAATCAATGGTCGACTGAAGAGCTCTTCTTCCCAGAGCATGATTTCGGTGGAACATTGTGGGAGAACCGTGCTGGATATGAGAAGTGGGATCCGTCTCTGCATACTGGCAATTGGTCCACCCCCCAGCTAGTAGGCATGATACCAGGCGGCGACAAGAAATATGCTCACATCTATCTAGGTCATTCATAACGAACTCGACTACCGACTGCCCATCTCAGAAGGATTGGCCATGTTCAATGTCTTGCAGGCTCGTGAAGTGCCTAGCAAGCTTGTCATGTTCCCCGATGAGAATCATGTGAGTGGTGAAACAATTGGTCTATCTTGTTTATTTGCTGATTATCGATGTAGTGGGTGCTGAAGCCGGAGAACTCACTCGTTTGGCATAGAGAGGTCCTGAATTGGATCAACAAGTACAGTGGCATCGCAGATGATGAGGCCAAGCTTGAGAAGCAGACTGAGGGGATGACTGTATAAATACGTATGTATCACTGAGAATGTTATTAGGGTATTATATGAGGGAGCATACTGTGTTTTCGAGGAGAAGACTTTGATAAGCTTTCAGGTTGGAAATACGCCGTAACGTGATATGATAGGAGACCTTATTATGTATTTCATCGATTTATTATTCTTCAGTAACCAGAAGAAGGCCCTCGTGGTATCTTGGGGCTCTTCGAGATAATGGCAGCGTACAGAGAGCCAAAGGCTGTGAATAATGGCACCACTTGTCTCAAGGCTGCTCACAAGCTTAATCATAAGCTCGCCATGGCCCTAATGTGGCCATGGACTTGCCATGAGCCTAATCACAAGAAGCCTGATCATCAGTATGTATGACAACCTAGGTACGTAATAAATGTAAGGTCAAAAATGGCAATGCTATATTCGTATCTTTTGCCCAGATGATCAAAATCACTGCATAATTGGGAAATCCTAGAGAAAAGTCGTTGACATGATCTTCTGTACTGTTTCTCTCAATCTTACCTACGTCGTTCCATTGTTGTCGTAACATCTACCTAGCTGGTGTAAGTCGTGTGTCTACTCTGTATGCCATATAGAAAAGGCCCCACTCTTTTATTGTTAGGCCGCGCCTACTATTCTTGCACCTCTGCTCTGATCTGCACTTGCCCCAAAGGGGCCAACTTCATACCTTTGGAGCAGCTCATCGCAACAAGCTTCAATAAATTTTGTGTAGATTCCAGGCGCATTGTTCGGGTATGCGCTGTGAAGCCATAGCCTTAAATACCGATGACGGCCCAGCTTTGCTCCCGCGACATCGATATCAAGACGAATCAGCAACTTATCAACTTACGAACGCATTCTTTTGACAATCGCAAGCCGAGCGCCCCAGTGAACTGATCACCATTTCACTCTCACACATAGAAACTACAACAATCGCCAGACAAATATGACGACACCACCATCCCTATTTCACGCGCTTCTCCGGCCCTCCATACTCCAGATCTTACGCTCAACAGGTTACCATTCCACGCGCCCCGCGGTCCTCGACTCTCTGACAGATCTTGCCGCCCGATACCTGTCGCTTCTCTGCCAAACTACTGCCCAGCATGCGATGCATAATCAAGGCGACAGCGCCGACTTCACAATCGCTGATATACGGATGGCGCTTCAGGACGCGGGTGCGCTGATGCCAGAGCGCGTACCTACCGAAGAGATGTGGCGCGGCGAAGAGGACTTGCGCGGAGTTGAAGAGTTCATAGCGTGGTTCGCGGGACAGCGCATGAAGGAGATGATGGAGGTCGGTAGCGGGGACGGTGAGACGGATGCTACAGATTATCTCAATGGTTGGTTCCTACGGATGGCTTCCAGAAAGCCCAGCTGACAGTGGCTTCACAGCTTTGAAGAAGAAACATAGTAAAACCGGCGAAGATGCTAAGTACCACGGTACCATACTCGGCCGTGGCCACGACACAGGCGAGATCCAAGTCGAAGGAGGGTCAGAGACGACCATCGCCGAATGGATCTCCAACCGCGCCTCGCCCCAAAGCAGCCCAACGCCCGGCGAAGAACAGCAGCCAGACGAAGATCAGCCTCCACAGCAGCAAGCACCTCAACAAAACGGCCATGCTAGTGACGATGATTCAGGACTAAGTTCAGTGGGTGATCGTATAGATCAGGATACAATGGACTTATCATAGTGAAGGACAGCGGCCGGACAAAGTGAGGCAGGCAGGCTATGGAAGTGGTGGTTAGAGTGATTGGTTCTTGGTTAATTGCATAGCGACGGAGTTCTTCAGGGGGGGTGGTGACTGAGCCAAAGGGAATAAAAGAAACTCTTTGGTCTCAGGGGGGCTTTTCTAGCCAGGGTGTCTTGCTGCTTTATTTGGGCTGATTTAATACCAAGTAGACGTGCACATGCAGAGCACTTATACGAGCGTTTCTAGAATTATATCCTATGGTTTCTTCTTTTATCAAGCTTGGATGCTTCGTTGGATATTCGGGACCCTGGTGATATCTCAGAAGCAAAGTAATATGTACCCGTTCATGCAATGTTATCTTCTATCATAAATCTTGATGAATGCTGCTTCTGCGCATATCTAGTATATAATGTTACAGTGGGCATCGCCTAGCCCTTTTATGCTATTATACATGATTCGAGTAGATCAGCGGATATCTTAGCACCGGTCTTCAATGCATCGCGCTCTACTCCTTTGCCCCTTTTCGTAAAACATCATACACCCCCATCTGCTCTGCAGCCTCCTTGAACATCTTTCTCTTGAGAGCATCATCGCCTTCAGTAGGCCAATATCGTTTTTGTAGATATTCAAAAAGCGCCTCGCCACGATGCTGACCCTCAAGACGAGAAGCATCTCCCTCCGCCCATGAGAGAAGACCACGGTCGAGATCTCGCTTGGCAGTCATGAGACGGCGCCGATGGGTCGGCGAATCCCATGTCAGCTTGGTCGTCTCCAACATCAGCTCGAGAACGAGCGTTTCGGGAGGCATGAAGCCGAAAGCATCACGGAGAGTCGACAATGCGACAACAAAGCCTGTATTATCCTTGATACGACGGAAAGTATGTAGGATCTTGCGTGCAAGCTGACCATCCATGCCATCGGGTTGGAAAACATGTCTGAACTTGACAGTCTCGGCAAACATGGCACGAGTGGGCTCAGCCTGATCAGGTACAAAGCCAGCTGAGACGTGCAGGCGGTTGACGGCGAGCGTCTTCCATAATGCACTAAATGTATAGGGATCAGGCTCGACGCCCTTTTCCGATACGAGCCTCAGGTATAGGTTTATAGCTTCCTTCGATTGTCCTGCTTGGATATAGGACTCGAGGAGCTGATTGATGATGAAGGAGTCAGCCTTCATATCCGCTTCACGGAAAGCTTCCCAGAGCATCAGCAGTCGATCGTGTAAGTCTCTCACTCGATAGTTCTCCGCTAATAGCGAGAAGGTTTCCAAGGTTGCTCGTGGTAGGGGTAGTGTGTCGTCCTTCTTTAAAGGCTCGTTTTGCAAATTCATGTCATTTCCTCGAGATTTCACGAATTGAATTCGAGTCTCAATCATGCCCCAAGCCACTTGATCCGCCTTCTCAAGATCTTCAATACCGCCAGCCCGTTGCCAAGCCGCGATGAGACCATTCAGCTGGATAGGAGCTGGCTCAATACCCTTTTGACCCATAAACTCCACAACGCTGTGAGCTCCGTTCAGATCGCCAGCACCAATCAACCTCTTCAGCCACTTTCCAAAAAAGAATTTGTTGGCGACCACTGATGGCATATATTTTTGCTTCTTCAAATCGATTTTGCCATCGCTCATCATATCAACGAAGGCGTATAAGGCATTCTCGGTCTGATGTGTCGTCAGGAAGTAGGATATAACTTGATCATAGTCGGCCAGCTTCATATCCTCTCCAAGAAGCTCGCGGAGTTGACGGTATGCAGCCCAAGCCTTCCCGTGCGCCTCTTCCGTGCCCAACTCAGACCAGGTCCGAATCAAAGGCATCAGAATGCGAGGGTCGGACTGCTTTTGGACGAGTTTGTTGATGGCTCGCTGTGCCTCTTCCAGATCACCTGTTCGGCAATACATCCTCACTCCAAGCTCCCAGAACTCTTGAAATGTTTCGGCATTTTCGTTACCAAGTGTGCTCAGACATCTCTTCCAGTTCTCGATTGCCTTGGACTCCCATCCATCAACAAAGACCGCCTCAATTGTCAGGAGTTGCTGAGCAGGGTTCAAGGTCACATTTGCCTCGCTCATGTCTCGAGCGAGAAGTGCAATATGTGATAGGCGATGAATGTTGACAGACTCATCGGCTGAGAAGATCTTCCACAGCAGATCCCACACTTCAAGGGGGACATGGCTCCAGCCGTGAGCCAGAGACAGTCTGGCTGAGTGATAAGCCTTGAACACCCCCTGCACAGTCTTTGTTGTGAGTTTGACATCGCGGCGATAATCCCTGGCAGTCTTTGATAACGCAGTGTTGAGGCGAGCGATCTTTTTACGTTGGTTGATTGTCCATGGCTTTTCTGGAATTTGAGGTAACGTTATTCGAGAACCCAGATTTCCAAATCCTGGCAAGCCTGGAAGTTCTGAGTCCAGTCTCTCCAACAGCTCTTTTGGTAGGTCTGCGCCGGTTTTGTCAATCTCCTCATCGATCGCCGCTGTATATGCGTCCAGTTTGGCAATAATTCTCTCGAGGTCGTCTGCCGTCTTCATGTTCTGCCATTCGGGGCCCAGTTGATCGACCACATCCTGGAAGGCTTCTTTTTCGTCCTTTCCACCAATGTCGTCTTTGATTTCCAGAAGGGCTTCCTTGAGACCTGATGTATCGACTTCGTTCAGTGATGCGCCGAACGCTTCTTCTCCAGAAAGTTCTGTTCTCTTGTTGTTGTCTTGTTCGAAGAACCGCACACTGAATGACTCGTTTCCGTCCTTCTTGGGATTTCGAAGAGACTTGATCCGGTCGATGTACTGCTGCAGCTCAAATCTGCTGGGCTTCTGTGTGACAGCATCATCGATTGATCGCTGTGTAGTGGCTTTGGTGCTATATGATGCCGCTATTCGTGGTTGTGTCGGCCGCTGTCGAATTACCAACCGGCAAGATCGACATATTGTGTCATTGCTGCTTCGTAGCTCGCGTAAAAGCGGTCGGCCCGCCATTCTCAACACATAAGGGCCCAAGGTAAAGGTGAAGCTTTGGCGAGACTGACGCTGAACCTTTTTCAGAGGTTATCGATAAGAATTTGAGGAACGGATCTGCCACTTACAAGAGTTTGGGGGGAGGTCAACGTCACCGCCTTCCGCATTAGGCTGCATAGATAACTTTTCCAGTGGCAGAAATTAATTTTTGTTTGGTACTCGTCGACGGGCTGGAAATATTGCGACTCCAAGGATACCCCCAAAACAGCAGCAAAATGTCGAATTCCACGCCAGAATTCCTCCGATTCACAGGACATCGATCCTTCACCCAGCGTCTAATTCTCTCGACGCTGACCGGTCGACCTATCCACATTTCCAAGATCCGAAGCACATCGCCTACGAATCCAGGTCTTGCCCCCCATGAGATTTCTTTCTTGCGCCTGCTTGAGGCTGTCACCAATGGCAGTTCCATGCAAATTTCTTATACCGGTACAACTATAACATATCACCCCGGCCTGATCACCGGAACTATCGCTGGTTTTGGCGCTTCTGACGGCGATGTCATTGAGCACAACATCTCCGTTAACAATACCCGCGGCGTCACCTACTTCCTTATGCCTCTCTGTTTACTTGCGCCCTTTTCCAAGGCGCACATGAACGTCCGATTCACTGGTCCTGGCGTTATAACATCGTCCACCGAGACAGGGGACATCTCCGTCGATTCTTTCCGAACTGCCATCCTCCCTCTCTTTGCCCTGTTTGGCATCCCTCCCGCGCGGATAGAGCTTAGGGTACTTCAACGATCATGCGCTGGACCCGGTGGAAAGGGTGGCGGTGGCTGTGTGGAGTTGCGATTCGCAAGCCAAGTGCGACTACCGAAGACTCTGCATCTCAACCGAAGCCCTGGTCGGATAAAGCGCATTCGCGGTGTCGCATACTGTACTGGAGTATCCGCCTCCAACAACGCCCGCATGATTCACTCAGCACGAGAGATCCTGAATCCTTTGGTTTCCGACATTCATATCGCTGCGCAGTATGACCAGGCACCGCTTGTACCCACTGGCGACAAGGCAGGAAGCAAGAGACGGCTTGGAATAGGATTCGGTTTGAGCTTGGTCGCTGAGTCAAGCGCTGTTGGAATTCTCTACTCTGCAGACGTAGTCGTTCCTCCCCAGGGCGGCGTTGTTCCTGAGGATATTGGAAAGCAGTGCGCTTTCCAGCTACTGGAGAACATCTCCCAAGGTGGCTGTGCCACCCAGGTTTCAGCCAAGACTATGCTTGTGCTTATGGCTATGGGATCGGAGGATGTTGGTCGTCTTAGAATCGGTAGGGAAGTGCTCGCAAATGAAGAGATGGTTATCCTCGCGAGAGACCTGAAGACGTTTGGCGCAAGCAGTTGGGGCTTGAGGGACGTTGGGGACGATACGAATGATATCATTGTTTCTGTTAAAGGCACTGGCGTTGGTAATGTTGGAAGAAAGATAGCGTAAAAGCACAGAATAATCCATTTATATATTTCAGATTCAGACCTTGAAAATTATTCAAACTCGCTAAATTGATATCATTGTCTATCGTTCTGAACTGTTCGAGCTGGCACATTGAGGCCTCGTCTCCGCGCTTCAATGGAAGCCATAGTTGCTCCATAGCTAATTGTACGGAGAGAATATGCGGCTGTTCTCTCAATATTCAACGCTGCATTGTGAAGTGAGTGAAGAACATGATATTCGCCGATGATCGCATTTCCGGAACTCAGGACATCAGACAGATGTGACCGTGTTGGTTCATCGATGAGTGGCTCTCTAGCCGACGGCTCTGATTCTCCCGACGTTGAGTTGGCCTCCTCAGTTGTACTGGTACGTCGCAAGGGTTGCAACTCGATGCCGTCCTCCTCATCAGCCGGTAATGAGCCGGGCATGTCCCTTGATACTCCACGCTCTTCCGCATCCAGATCTTCTATGGTAGGAACCATCTCCTGAGCCACATCAGGCACCATAGGTCGGAAGGTCTTAAGAGTCACCCGCAGTCTCTCCCGCTCAGTATGGACCGTCAGCATTAGACATTGAACGGCGAGGATCATGACATCTGCTAGAACATAGTAAATGCGAGAAGTGGGGGGCTTTTGCCCTATGAAGTCGATGACCAGGCCACCGTGCATATAGCCTCGGTGGTAGTCAGGACCGACAGGCAGAGAAACAAAAATATGCAGAAGTATGCAGATGATGTTGGGAATGAGAACGAGACACACATGTATGGGACTCGCAGGCATTAAGAAAGGAAATGACTCATCCTTCGGCGTGAGATATAAGTACTGGCCAACAGATCTTAGGATGAATCGAAACATTGAGCACCTAGAGGGGCATCACTGGTAAGCGGAGTTCAGGAAAGATGCGCAAGTAGTCGAACATACTCCATATAGTACAGTCCACTCAGCTCCGCGAAAACCAGGGTATCAAGACTCCTGAGCAAATGTGTGACAAATTCCAACTTTCTCGCTAATCCAGGGTTGCGCTTCTTCCTGCTTTTCTTCTTCTTGCGACGCTGAGGGTGCAACTGGGCGCGCGACCAAGCTGATCTCGAATGCTCGCGTGGTAGATTCCATGTGACACGGCTGCCGGATGAAACATTGACTGGTTCGGCCGTGGAAGCTTCATTCGGCGCCGTAGAGCTCGGCGAGGCATCATCGCTCATTCTCGAGTATCGTCATCTGTATCTGCATCTGAAGGGGAGCTAGTTCTGCATGAGCAGGGTGACAGCTCAGGAGAAGCACGTGTGGCTCATGAAGTGTTTGCGGAAGGTGTATGGCTGCAGCAGAGAGTTGTCTAATAGATTCAAAGTGTGTATAGCAATGCAGTTTCGACTGGCGCTATAGGAATGTAAGATATCGGCTACAACAGGCTCGTGAATTGAAGTGACTTGTTGCAGCATGAGGCGACTTGAGACGCCATGATAAGATTGCAGGGATTACATGTAACAGCCCCCAGGGCTTAGGTGCATTGGCAGACGCATTCATAAGGTAGCTGGGTCCTACCTTTGGACTCTGGCCGGAAAAAGAATGGCCCGAATATGGCGGGACAGATACCTTACCACAAGTACCTACCAGAGTACCCCGCCATCGGACCGCTATGGTGGGCGATGCAGCACTCCAACGGCCCAAATAATTTCTGCCCTCCGTGACTCAGACGAACAACGACAGGTCAAGAAGAGCCCAGCTCACCATTTCCTCTTGGCTCCTCACAACCCAAAATCCTCCGACATGACGACTTCAAGCTCCGCTCCCTCGGGGGATCTCACCTCCCAGATCCTTCAGGCCCTGTCGGAAAAGAGCCCCTTGCTCTCCTCAGAGGCCTTCCCCGCCATCGCCTTCCAGGACATCAAGGCTGCACTTGATCGTCTGGCTTCACGATCTATGATCACGTACGAGACAATTGACAAGGAAGAGGCTATCCTTGAGCCCGAAGCGGAGCAAATTGCCGAGCATGGTAGTCATGAGGCGCGTGTTTTTGAGGCGCTTCGAAATGCCGTGGAGGGGTTGTCGATCCAGGACCTAGAGAAGGCCATTGGCGACAAGACGGTGACCAAGGTCGGACAGGGCAAGGCTTTCAAGGAGAAATGGATTAAGAAGAGCGCCGACGGCAAGCTGGTAGCCACTGTATGTCGAGCTCATAAGTTCTATATATGAATTTGGGTTCAACTGTTAGCTAACCTCAAGTAACAGGCTGAGTCGATCGAAGATGTCACCCAAGCGCAGCTACAGAAGATCAAGGAGACCCGGACACACGAGCCCAAAATCTTGACCGATCTGCGAAAACGAAAGCTGATCAAGATGCAAAAGGTTATCAGCTTCAAGATTGAAAAGGGACCCAAGTTCGCCCTCGAGATTCAGAAGGAGGAGACCGACTTGACAGCCGACATGATTGCTTCTGGATCATGGAAGACTGCCAATTTCAAGCCCTACAACTTCAAGGCTCTCGGCGCGGACCAAAATGCTGGCGCACTTCACCCCCTGAACAAGGTCCGACACGAATTCCGACAGATTTTCTTCGAGATGGGTTTCGAGGAGATGCCTACCAACAAGTTTGTCGAGACTGGATTCTGGAACTTCGACGCCCTCTTCGTGCCCCAGCAGCACCCCGCCCGTGATCTTCAAGATACCTTCTACATCTCAGACCCCAAGGTGGGAGACGCGCCACGATCGGAGGAAGGACAGAACACAGAAGAGTACTGGGAGAACATCAAGCAGGTTCACCAGAACGGCAAGTTTGGGTCAATCGGTTACAGATACCCCTGGTCAGCGGAGGAGACCAAGAGACTGGTGCTCCGAACCCACACTACTGCCATTTCAACGGCCATGCTTTACAAGCTAGCAGCGCAGAAGGGGCCTGATGGACGCCCACCTCCAGCGCGATACTTCTCTATTGATCGTGTCTTCCGAAATGAGACAGTTGACGCAACCCATTTGGCCGAATTCCACCAGGTTGAGGGTGTTATCGCCGACTACGGTCTCACTCTTGGTGGTTTGATGGAGTTCATGGAAGTCTTCTTTGCCAAGATGGGCATCACCAACCTCAAGTTCAAGCCCGCCTACAACCCTTACACCGAGCCCAGTATGGAAATCTTCAGCTATCACGAGGGTCTGGGCAAGTTGGTGGAGATCGGAAACAGTGGCATGTTCCGACCTGAAATGCTGGAACCCATGGGCCTGCCAAAGGACATGCGGGTGTTTGGCTGGGGTCTGTCCCTGGAGCGACCGACCATGATCAAGTACAAGATCTCTAACATCCGAGAGCTGCTGGGCCACAAGGTTGATCTCAACTTTATCGAACGGAACCCTGCGGTGAGATTAGAGAAGGAGTAAAAGTTTTTTATGGATCTGTACTAGGTAAAAATAAGAACAAAGGAAAGATACGTATGATGCGTGTTGGGTGTTAGAGGGCGGCATCTAGAGGACCCGGTGCAGCTGGTAGTATCATGACTAGACGAAATAAGAAACAAATTAGAAAACCCGTTCAAGCATACGTCTGGATCTGGGATTAGGGGTCCCCTGACGAGATGATGGCTGATGAGGATAGACCCTGACTAGAGACGGGAATCGAGGCTTAAGATGGAGTCGTGTCGTCAGTGAAGCTTGTCTCAGAGATAGCGCCCCACGTCGTTGACGGTGATTACGCACACGGCAGCTGGACCCTTGTTTTGAGGTTTCTCGGCAGTTGATATTGTCCTAATATGTCTGATGGTGGTAGTGCCTGTCAGCTTGATTCTTGTTCATGTGATTGATGGCATGGAATGATAACCCACGACTGCAAGTTGCAAGTCCAGCTGCTGCGTCCCCCGCTCTCGGCATCTTCCTTGTCAGCCTGTCTCTCGATGGCTCTTGGGCCCCACGGCTCCGAACAGATCGGCCCCACGACCCTTGAGCCCCGCCCCGCGTGTCTGCAGGCCAGGACGGGTGCATCCACTTCAAACCTCGTCATTGAGATCCAGAGACGAACTTTGACGTCTATTATTCATCACGGCTATCGAGAATGTGCCCGCACCATGTACCGATGTACCTCTCATAGCATCATATCACCCCGCGTCTTCAGGAAGCAAACGAGCAGCTCAGAGTAGGCAATTGATCCTCATGAACTTTGTAGAATGCAACGCTGCAAGCATTGGCATATGCATGACAGCTACTTGTCGGTTGCGGCCTGGGGACAGTAAACGCCTGTGGCGTCCTTCCCCGCGTAAAGTTACTGGCGGTTGTAATTCCCCTGCCAAGTTGATGGGTGGTGTGACCTCTCTCAGCTCTGCTTTGAGGTATTGACAAGACCTCCCAGGTTCTCCGCGTTTGGATTGTAGGAGGGATCAGCGGTCTTGGTTAAGGGATCAGAGAGTCATGATGCTCACTGTTCATAAGCGAGATGCCCATCGTTTCACCGTCTCGTCTCCCTCGAAATTTTCCATCAGATTCGTAGGGAAGCTTTTCCAGCATCTGACGATCGCAACGTGCTGGTTGGCCGTGATAGCTCCCCAAGGGAACTGTCGCTGACAGCAAAACAGAGGCGAATGGGAACGCCACTTTTGTCATGGCCTGGTTGGCTATGCTCCAAAGAGGATGTCCGGCAAAAGCTTATGCATTGACGCATCTATTGGCCAGTTCGCTTGCAGCTCAACAGTGACGATGGGTGATTGACTTCCCTCCCGTGGCACGCGAGATCAAGCCCTGGCTTGGTCGAGGCATCCCTAGCTCAGACAGAGTAGCACTCGCTCTTACCTTTTGCTGCAAGAGGAGAGGAAAGGTCCATGGATCGACGTGAACTGGCCTGATCTCTCCTCCTCTCACAAGATATAAACTCATCTGCTCCCCTCCACTTGGCTAAGTTCCTTTCTCTGTTAAACTACCTACACTATACACCAAACACTGCTGCCGGACCATAACAGCGAAGGACATATATTCAAATCCACCAATCACCCCAGTGCTCACTCCAATCACTCCAAATAACCGTTACCATGGATTCCGGTGCTCCTCAGACTGCTCCTACTGGCAACGTCAGCGGCCGTCGCCGAGTAAGTTCCTTCTTACACCTCTTTTGTAAACATCAATCTACTAACACAGCAATCATTAGAGCTCAGGCTTCATGCCAGCCTTCGCCAGCCTCAGCGAACAGAAGCGAGCCGGCGATGCCAACGCCGCCCGTCGTGCGAGTATGTCGGACCAACAAGCAAAGGGTGGCTTGTTCAGCCAGTTCTTCCACAAGTACGTCACTATTATCACATCAACACCCGTCTCTTATGTTGACAACTGTTATAGCAACTTCGGCAAGAACGCTGCTAAATAAATGAAATGAGAAGATGACAAATTGAAGGCATTGGCACTGTATTATTAGTATCATGATGGCGGATTGCAGGGTGTTTGGGCCGTCTAGTGTTGTTTTGTTCGCGATTGGTAATTAGGCTACGGAGATGCGAAGCCAGTTTAAATCTTGGAATAGCACAGCAGAACGAAGTAATGTGATCCAACTTACTGCATTCCTACTTTGTGAAGAATGTTTCGTGATCTGCACGTATAAACCAGAGATCCATGCTTCGAGTTTGGTATAGGAGTTGTGCCATGCAATTACACATTGAAGTAAATCGTGTTATTCTCCAAATCGGAACTGATCCTTCTGGTGAAGATATTTTTACCGTGAGATGCTGGTTCAGCTATTTCATAATGCAATATAAGACTCTTCTAACATTACCATGCGACCTGACGCCTCCGCAACTATGCAATATACATCCGTATATCCGACAGTCATGATCTACATATCCTCAACCATCTAGTCTAGGTGCTTCCAAGTGCGTATCCAAGCAACCTGTTTACATCTTCATATTCTATGCTTTAACCATGAAAATCTGTATAAGATTAGTAACGTAGCCATGAATTAGTCGGAATAAGTAGTACATACCTGGTTCAGTGCCTTGGTGTCAAGCACAGCCTGTCTCTTTTGCGCAATAAATCGTGACCGCACAAAATTCCTGCTCCCTCTAGGTGTCGATGTGCCAGATGGTGTTGTGGCTCCTGTCCCAGGGACCGAAGCCGTGGGCGTAGAGTTCTGTGTGACTGATGTGCTGGTTGATTCGGATGCTTGCTCCTCCTTCTTGCGCTTCTTCTTATCTTTCTTATCTTTTTTAGACTTCTTGTCCTTCACCTTTTCTTCGTCTGAGCCCTCAGGGGACCGGCTCTTATCCTTGGACTTGGACCTCCGCTTCTTTGAGCGCTCTTCGACATTCTCGTCGTCTGAGATGTCCTCTGTGGACTTTTTGCGGGACTTCTCTTTCTTGTCTTTTTTCTCTTTCTTCTTCTTGGCCCTGGTGTCGTCAATATCGCCGTCCTTTACTTTTCGCTCTTCCTTGCGTCTTTTCTTGCTCTTTAAATCGGTTTCTCGACTTGAACTTTCCTCCTCATCCTCGTCGTCGGTTGCCTTTCTCTTCTTAGACTTCCTCTCCTTTTTGGATTCTTTCGGTGCAGGGGCGGATTCCATGACAACGTCCTCGTCGGAGTTTGACTCTGTTTGCTGGTCGGCCTTCTTCTCTTCCACTTCCTTCATCTCATCGCCCACCAGTAGACCACCGTAGACGAACTTCATGGCTCCGTATCGTTGCTCAACAAAGTGGTGCGTCTTCACAGCGAGTCGCGCTTGTTGATCCTCCTCGATGGCATCATCCGTCTTTCCGTTGAGTCGACTGAGCAGATCTTGAAAGACATCTAGACCAGTAACTTCATCCTCTTTCGACTTGCTGAAGCCCAATCCCTTCATGTCATCCTTAAGAACCACGCGAATGTATGAGGCGTTGGCGGCCGTGTGCAATTCCGAGTGCGGCGCATCTTGTGCTCCGAGGAACTGGCCCGGTTGCCAGCCTTGAGCTCGCAGGATCTTCTGGCCGAAGGTATTCGTATCTTTAGTCCATTTTGTGTTGTTTGGATCCTTGTTGATCTTCCGTCGACTGTAGTTGGTTAGCGCATGCTGTAGAAAGACACAGCTTGAGAACATGTGTCCCTTACGTCTTGTTTTCTGCGAGGAGTCCCATTTTTGCGAGCTTGAACTCTTGAAAGATCCGATCGCTCAATGCGTTCGTGATGGTAGAGTTGGACAAGCCTACAGAAAAAAAAGGTGGGCAGTGGGGATGTGTGGCCGCGAAAATATCTTATCGCAGGATATCATTGGTCAGGCAAAGGACATGAGCGCCCCTCCCTCTGCGCTAGCTTATCTTCATCGAGACTCACCAAGAGTTCAATGAACACGCTAGAGGGAGAATCTTTAAAAACTTCCATTAGGGCCTGTAAAGATGGGAGTACTTAGGATAGTCCAGATATTGTAGCGTGAGCTTACAGGCTCTTCCACTAAGGCAATCTCGCTTTCTAGTACTGGATCAAAGCTGAAACCCCCTTTCACAAGCTACTAAAGGACAGGTGTACGGGACTAGAAACGCTTCTACAGTATAGCAACTAAGATAATTGATTCATGTATGAAGCCTTCGTTTGCTCCGTTCTAGCTTGCATCAGGAGTACCATTCAGGCCTGCAGGATTATGTGCATAACTGCAACCGTCTTTTAGGAATCTTCTCCGTTTCTTGGGACCTTTGAGCTGGAGGATAGGGAACAACAATTGGATATAAGAAGAAGCATTCTGTAGGTAACCGCTATTTTCAGGACTATTTGTCCATCAAAAACCGGCATGAGAGCAACATGTGTAGGCATATGATACATAGAGTCTAAAAGCAGCGACCTTCCCAGGATCCAGGTACTTAGTGATTGATATTAAGAAAATCAGCAAACTCCGAAGCGTCCAAATCGCCTTGCTCTGGAAGGAAAGCATAATGAGCAGTTTAGTAATTGAGCTCACCACTTCCACCACCCGAAACCTGGTCCAAATCCTCATAACTCTTGAGGCTTCGGCCCTGGACTGCCTCCCGAGGCCCGCCCGCAGCACCTCCAGCGCCGTCACCCCAGCGTGACCCGCCGTTGCGGTTACGACCACCGTCAAAACGGTTGCCGCCTCGACGATCATAAGGTCCAGAGCGGTATTGGCCTCGTCCGCCACCCATTCCTCCACGACGGATAGGTCCTCCACCAGAGCGTTCGTCCATAGGGTTCCAGCTTCCGGATTGCATGTTTGCAAACATAGGCGAGAAGTTGCCTGGAGCCATGGGGAAGCCAGGCATCCCTCCTCCCATCATACCGTTCATGGTAAAGTTCTGCAGGTTGAAGCCTCGTGGTGTTCCACTGCTGGATTGGCCATTGGAAGGCGGGAAGTGACCATTTGAGTTTGCGTCGGTTCTTGAGGGTGCAATGTGAGAGGGGTCCATCACATATGAGTTTATGAGTTCAAACTAAATATCTTGGTTAGCACAGCACGGTGAAATGTGACGAGGCGAGAACTCACCTCTTGCCTCAGGTTATCAAGCCAATCACCGTGGCGCTTCTCAACGTGCTTACGCCAAAAATGCTCTTCCTTGAACAACTTGGAGCACTCGGGAGCTTTGCACCGCCATTTGTGTTCATCCTCCTGCTTCACATGTTTGAGAAGCTCTTCATCGACAGCCTCATCAGCAGGTCGGCCACCCAGCTTTCGAATATCGACAGATTGAGGGTCCAGAATCTGGGTAAGCTTATCTTCGAAAGTCTTAACCCAGTTAAACGCCCGAAGGAGTTGCTGCTCCGTCTTGTTTGAGGCGTTTCGAAACTTCTTTTCACCTTCAGTAAGCTCGCCCTCATTCTCTTCTGCCCCTTCGCCCCTCTTCTTGCCTGGGAATGGCTCTCCATTGGCGCTGGCTCTAGCAACAGCCTTTGCAGCAGACGAAAGTGTGCTGCGAGGTCTGCGCAAATGACCACCAGGGCATTTTCGTGTAAGTTCGTGAATTGAATCACTTTCGAAAACACAAAAGAAGCAAAAGTTGAAGACGCGGCGCAAATATTCAATCAAAAGATCAAGTTGCTTCTTCTTGACCAAAAGATCCTCGTCGTCAACTTCTTCATCTTCTACGGCCCCCTCCTCCTCCTCCTCTTCTTCCTCAATTTCAATGACGCCGTCTTCTTCCTCGTCCATAGCTTCGTCCATTCCCACTTCTCTGATTTTCTTGACCTTCTTGACAGGGGTTGGAACCACAGCCGGTTGAAGCTGACCCGCGTTTCTCAGGTCTTCGACCTTTTCTTCAATTTTCAGAGTGGCTTGGAAATCGGATCCGAATTCTTCCTCAAACTTGTTGACAATTCGCTGAACAAGCAAGAGGTCCTTATCGATGCGCTCAGGAGCGGAGAAGAGATCCCACAGGGCCTTCTTTCGGGGATGGACAGGTGGGTTGTGGACTCCAACGTGGCAAACAAAGTCTCCTCTGACCTCATCTTTGACAGTCTTACCGTTGATGGCCTCCAGAGCCTTGTCGGCAGTAGATGCTGGCTGAAGAGATGTTATCGCCTCATCGCCATCCTCATCCTTAGGTTCAACGCGGTCTACGGGGAGTGATGTTTCGGATGAGGGGTGAAGCATGACCCAACCAATACGGTGGTACCGCTTACTGGGGTTGGGATCAGATAAAGAAAGCCACTTGAAGCCACCTTCCTCCTCGCCGAGATGCTCCTTACAAAAGGCCTCGAGGTTCTGGCGGCTAACATGCGGGGCGATGGTCTTGATCAAGAGAGTTGGCTGGAACTGGCTCTCGTCGCGGATGTCAGCGCCATTGACTGGAACCAGATCTCCAACGCCCAGGATCTCGTTTGTGGCTGTAGCCTCTCCCTCTTCCTTTTCAACTACACCACCACTGCCGTTGCTCTCACTCTTGGGAAGACCCTCAAGAGAAAAGTCATCGAAAGTGCCCGATTCAAGATCTTGCTCCCACTGGCTGTAAGCACCGCGTCGGTATTCGTTCAGCTTTCCCCTGAAATCATCACGAATTTCCGGAACATATCGCTCCTTGAACCATTGCTCTTTCTTATGTTCAGAAACAAATGTCCGTGCCATCTTGGCTTGAAGTTCTTCTTTATACGCATCATAGGCAGCTTGGATCCTGGCTTTCTCCTTTTCGCGATCTTCTGGGCCGCGAGCCCGTTCCGGTTCACGGCGTCGACCAGTACGCATTCGCTCTTTCTCCTCCTTGATCTTCTCGTTCATTCTCCACCATTCTCCAAAGTAGGAGAAGCCAACTTGGTAATGGAGCTTGGCAGGGTCGGGGAGGGGGTTAACAGTTGGATTAGTTGACCCGGAATCCTGTCCAGGTACGTATCGGTCAATATTGGCAGGTGGCGACTGCATGCGACGCCTGTCATCACGGTCCCGGTCGTCTCGTCGGGGTCTGGGTTCGTAGCGGTCGACAGTGGCTGGAGAGCGAGACCGGCGGCGGTCGCGGCGGTCGTGGCCTTGAGACTTGTAAGCTTTGTCTATATTTACTGTGCTGAAGCCCGTCACTGCTTGGTGGCAGGAAGCAGAAGCGTCTTTGGAAGACGAACCTGGAGATCTCCCACGGTAAAACGAGTCCCCGCGGTCAGGACGCTCATCTCGGGTACGCGAGTCATCTCGGCTCCAACTACGATCAACTGGAGAACGACCTGAGGCGTCGCGAAAAGATGTGTACGAGTCCATCGTTTATATCGTTGCCAGCGACGCGACGCGGCATGGAAGAAAGCGATATTTCTGCGTGAGTCTTCGCGGCTCGATATTGAGCACTTTGCAAGGAATACAAAGGAATTATCTATTGTTTGGCAACATGATCGACGTTAGAGAGGTTATCTTGAGCAACGTATGGACAAATGGTAGTGGAGGGAACGAAAAGAAGGTTGCCAAAGAGGCGCCATGAAGAAGAAATTTGGGGGACAACGCGCCCTGGGCGAAGAATGAGCATAAGAAGAATTGAGAAGAATGATTTGAGAATCGCAGACGGGTATGCCGCGTCAAAGAGTGAGGAGGAAGGGAGAACGCGAGGCTGCGGATGCGACTGGATCGACGAGTTGGAAGAGCTGCAAGAGGGATAAGGGGGGAAAAGAGCAGGAGATCAAAGAATATGGGGAGACAAACTAATTGACGAGCGCAGTCTTAAAGAAGAATTCAATGGAGTGATAGCGCTTGAGTCGAGAGATGCGCGCCCTCACTTCACAGCGATAACAATTCAATGCGATTTGATGTGATGAGTGAAGTGAGGTTGAAGAGGCTGAGTTGGTTGGTTGGCTGGGGGCCAGTCGGAATTGCAGTTCAGCTGGTAAGCGAATTGGTGGAGCACAAGCTAGGATCCCCGGGGCCTCCGCTACGAAGAAGATGGATCTCCATGCCGAGAACGAGAAGCTCTGAGGCTGCTCTAGGAAAAGCGCGGTACATATATGATCCAGCTACCTTACTGAATCACATTGTTTTATGCTATTTCTCTAGTTTGATAACATTTTCTTAGACCTCTAAACACTATATCATGTCTGCTCTACCATGATTAATTATCAATGTAGTTTTCGACAATTGATGCCATAATCATTAAACGGTCTGAAGCAATGAATTGGGCTAACCAGGTACCTGCCTTTCCTCCGCAATAAATTGACCAATAATCAACGAGAAAACGCCTGTCGGCAAGCAGCGAATGTTGATACAGTGCCTGGAAACAGGAAAGTGGCGATCTCCGCTCGCAACTAACATTGAAATCTGGGGGAGTATCCCGATATGCTCAGTGCTTTAGTCGCTAAAAGAGCGGCAAACAACAAGGCAGCTGACCAAGATAAGATGTCTATTTGTTCGGATATTGTCATAGCCACGTCGGTCCTATTTCCTCCTTTGTTTTACAGCTTGTTCAGCCAAACTGGAGCAACTTGAAACCCTCGCACCATAACCAACTTCCCTCCTCGGCTTGGTTCGAGCATGTCTTCTCCTCCACTCTTCACCCCACTCCCACTCTCTATCGCTCGTGATAGTGCCATAGAACTCCTCATCAGAATATGATAAGGGTTGTGCGGCGTATAACAAGCTCTCAATATCCACCGGAAGTGCTTGGTCTTTCTGTGTCAAAGAAACTTGAGACATTGGGAACTTTGGTTTCCCTTCACTCGACTTATCTTGGACATAAGTTGTCAAGATGACTGTGCCTATTCTGGGTGGCGACTCAAGCTATAATCGAGCCGTGGAGCAATTTAGAGAAGCTGAATATCCAATGATTCAAGGTCATAATACCTAGATATGCTTCTGAACTGTACTGACCTGCGAAAAGACTCGATATACCTTGATCACGCCGGGACAACATTATGTTCCAAGTCATTGATGGACTCGTTCGCCCACGAGATGACTACAGTTCTCTATGGCAACCCCCACTCTGCATCACCATCCTCGCAGCAATCAGCATCTCGCGTTGAAGATGCTCGTATGAATTTGCTTACCTTCTTTGGAGCGGACCCAACTGAGTATGATGTGGTGTTTGTTGCAAATGCCACAGCGGGAGTCAAACTCGTTGTTGAAGCTATAAGGAATCAACCAGAAGGTTTTCTATATGCATATCACCAAGGATGTCACACAAGCTTGGTCGGCGCTCGAGAGGAAGCTGTTTATAGTACATCGGTTGACGATGATGATGTTCAATCATGGCTTGAAGGACAGTTCCCGTTCCGAAATATGACCGATAACTCGTCAGCAACAACACTGTTTGCCTATCCTGCGCAATCCCATATGGATGGCAAAAGATATCCCTTAACTTGGGCGAAAAACTTACGGAACTTGTATCGCAAACCCCAACATCGATTTCTCACATTATTGGACGCCTCCTCATTTGCTGCTACATCTTATCTCGATTTCAGCGATCCGAACTTAGCACCAGACTTTACTGTCCTCAGCTTGTATAAGATTTTCGGATTTCCCGATCTTGGAGCCTTGCTAGTGAAGCGTTCTTCCGAATGGGTGTTTAACAATCGCAGGTATTTTGGTGGAGGCACGGTGGACATGGTTGTTTCTGGAAAGGAGAAGTGGCATGCCCCAAAATCACAGTTCCTCCACGAGAGGCTAGAAGACGGGACACTTCCGTTTCATAACATAGTGGCTCTCGACATTGCCATGGATATACATCGACGACTATTTGGTTCCATGGATCAAATCAGCTCCCATACTTCATACCTCACCCAACGCATGTTCCAAGAATTGAGCAATATGCGTCATGCAAACGGTGCCCCGGTTTGCAAAATCTATACATCTGCATCTAGCGACAAAAACGCTCTTGGAAATGGGCCTGTTGTTTCTTTCAACCTAAGGAATAGCCAGGGCGCTTGGATAAGCCTTGCCGAGTTTGAGAAACTTGCGAATCTCAAAAACATCCACATTCGGACCGGTGGGCTTTGCAGCCCAGGCGGCATTGCTTCAGCCCTAGACTTGCAACCTTGGGAGATGAAGAAGAATTTCTCAGCCGGGTTTCGTTGCGGTGCAGACAATGATATCATGTCTGGTAAGCCCACCGGTGTCATTCGAGCTAGCCTAGGTGCAATGAGCACGAAAACAGATGTCGATGGCTTTGTTGCTTTTCTCAAGGAGTTCTACCAAGAAAGAACGGTACCAATCGTTTCTTCTGATCTAGACCTCCAGAAATCCACCGACGTCCCTAACTCTTCCGCACTCAAGGTAAAAACTATTACTATCTACCCAATAAAAAGCTGCGCCGGGTACTCGATCCCATCTGGGCTTCCTTGGGAGGTTCGACCAGAAGGTCTAGCATGGGATCGTGAATGGTGCTTAGTCCATCATGGTTCTGGGCATGCTTTGAGTCAGAAACGCTGCCCTAAGATGGCTTTGTTAAGACCAACATTAGACTTTGGCAAGGGCGAGCTGATCATCACATATCATGGGACACAGCATAGCGGCCAACCAAGCCAAATATCCATCCCTTTATCAGCAGACCCTTCTGTCATTGACTCCAGTATTGGCAGGCAATCATCTAGAGTTTGTGGCGAGAACGTGAGCACACAGATATATACATCGGATAGGATTAACTCTTTCTTCTCGAATGCTCTTGGGGTTCCTTGTGTCTTGGCGCGCTTCCCCCCTGGTGGCCTGGGGCTGAAAAGCCGTCTTTCCAAGGCTCAGATTCAAAGATATCAACAGCCATCAAAAATCCACACATTACCAGGTTCCTTCCCAGATGTGCCATCACCTCCTGATTCGGACTCTGAACAGCAGAAACCTGCCAAGATTCTTCTCTCTAACGAGAGTCCTATCTTGGTAATCCACAGTTCGAGTGTTGATGCTTTGAACCAGCAAATCATTGACCGTGGTGGAAGCTCGGTTGAAGAGAAATCATTTAGAGCAAATATAACACTCGAACAAGCTCCTGGTTTTAAAGCACAGCCAGCCTTTTCTGAGGATCGTTGGGGCTCTATGAGCATTGGTCGCCAAAACTTCAGGCTTCTGGGTGCGTGCCGCAGATGTCAGATGGTATGTATAGACCAAGAAACTGGCGAAAAGAAGGAAGAGCCATTCGTGACGCTTGCGAAGACAAGGCGCTTCGATGGCAAAGTTTACTTTGGGGTACATATGCGGCATGATCCTTTCGCTGAAGGCGACGTTATGAAAAAAGAGTCACAATACCCAACAATTGAGGTTGGAGATTCTGTATCTGTAGAGCTTCGTGGGTGATTTAATCACGCTTTACGGAACATGAGCTCGTATTTGTAGCAGTAAACTAATTATCAAAAATAATTTCATGCATTCTCCGAAGGGCCCACGATGGAGTAAATAAACAATTATGCTAAACTTGGCCGCTTTTCGTCTGCGGTTTGCCTTCCAAAGCACCCTTGTATTTTACCTTGCAGTACGGTCCAGGTTGAAAGCCGCACTGATTAAGGCTAGATGACTGAATGCCTGAGGTGTATTACCAAGTTGTTCCCCAGATCTTGCGATCTCCTCAGAGAACATGCAGAGATGATTAGAGAAACCGAGCATATTCTCAAAGAGATTTACAGCCCTGACCAGATACTTCGGTTCGTAGACGGCTGCTCGGGTCATGGCTTCGACGAGCCAGAAAGTACACATACTAAACGCACCTTCATGACCGCCTACTCCTACGTCGCGATTTTCTCTCATTAGCAACTGCGCCTCGATGAAGTAATTGTGGGATTCCTTACCATCGTTGGACAGCTCAGTGTCATATCGGTATACTAAGCCGGTACTTGTCAACCCGCCCTTTTCTGGGGGTAAGAGAATACGGTCAAGTGTATTGAGAAAACGTGGATCACAGGGTGAGATGAAAAACACAAGAGGAGCTATAAGAATGGAGGAGTCGAGCATAGTTCTGCTCTCAAAGCTTTGCACAAAGCATTTCATCTCCTCGTTATATCCTGTAAACAGTCAACACCATTCATCAATGGAAGTTTGGCATGGATTACCTTGCTCCATGACACGCTCATAAATGCTGTCTCTTGCCTCCATCCATTTAGCGCGATTGGGACATGGAAAGCATCTCTTGTCAGCAAGACGAAGGCCGCGATCAAATGCGACCCAGAGCATTATCTGAGAGTATGTGAAGTGCTGCTTGTTATTTCGGACCTCCCAGATAGACATGTCGGGATCTATCGCGTTTAGCCAAAACCCGAAGCCAAGAGCTATATATCTTACCGTCGAGGATAGTCAAAACATAATCTGAACACATGTTAGCTCGCCAAGAGAATGGTAAAGGTGGTGCAACGTACCAAGAATCTCACGAACAGCCTTCCAAACATCCCATGGAACTGGCTTTCCGTATTTGTTATACAAGTAGATAGCATCCATCAGTTCGCCATAGATATCAAACTGTTGATGAAACGCCGCACCATTACCGATACGAACAGGGCTACTGCCGCGATAACCTTCAAGATGATCCAATGTCAGTTCCGGGATGTCAGTCTCACCGCGAATGGTGAACATAATAGGCAAGCCTCCATCTGGGCCACGCGAGTGAACGAATCTTTCCATGATGAACTCCATATAAGCATCTGCTTCGGCCTTGAAACCAAGACGTAGCAGGATGTAGATAGTAAAGCTCGAATCACGAATCCAAGAGAAGCGATAGTCCCAGTTTCTTACGCCACCGATGGCTTCGGGAATAGAAAAGGTTGGGGCAGCTATGATAGCACCAGTAGGCTCTATGAAAAGTTAGTCGATTTCTCACAGATTGGATCTGGGGGGCCACCTCACCGTAAGTCATCATCTTGAGTATCATCAAACTTCGAGACACAACCTCTCTCCATCGGCCTTTATACTTCGATTGCGCAATGAAATTATACCAGAAACTCTGCGTAGAGTGCTGCTGGGCATCAAGCACGTCAATCGTAATATTCTCCGTGACATGGTGTTCAATATCATTTCGAAGGACAAAAGAAATCGTCTGGCCTTCTTCAATACGGATGCAAGCCACGAGGCCCTCGCCGTTGATGCCAGGACGCTTCTCCTTTCTGAAAGTTATGAGAGGACAACTGGTCTCGTTCTCTCCCTTCTCAATTGCAACGTCAAGCTGCAGCTGAATATCCTTGCTATGAAACGAGGCAACTTTACTCTTATTATCAGTTGTGAAGTGCTGTTCTTGGAAGAGAGTAGTCTCATGCTCATCTCTTCCGTAGTTGAAAGAAGGAAAGAGTTCGATATCTGAGCACGGTCAGTCATTGCCTCTAGTTACGTGTCGAGATGGCAGTACCAAGATTCATTGAACCACGAATGCATTCCACTCGGCGGACCAACCACTTCTTAAGCTCATCTTGGACTTTGGTGACTTCCCGGTAAGCATTCAGCTTCACACCTTTGGTGGTAACCGTGATATTCTGTGGGCGAGGGAAAAAGTCAACCACATCGACGACACCATCTTCATGAATGGACCTTGTTTGTAGAATACATGATGATGGAAGATACTGCTGCTTGGTAGTACAGTTTACATAGGGAGGGGGGGAAATAAAGAAATGCCCTCCTTTGTCCTTGTCGAGGAGCCGGCAGAAAACAGAAGGGGAGTCAAAATCAGGCCTACAATTCAAATCATCAGTCAAGAGCTCCGAGTCTCATCTCACCGGTCTGCACTCACCAGCACATATAGTCAATACTTCCATCAATTCCCACGAGAGCACAAGTGTGCATGTTTCCAATCATTCCATAGTCCTCAATTGGGAGATATCCCCCGGTTTGACCCCGACGGGAACCTCCCGGGAGTGTTGAAGAGCGCCGACCCTCCATTTTCAAAGTCGCTATCTTGTAGTCTCGAAACTTGAGGTAGAAGAAGCTCCAGGAACAGGAGCTTAGTATAGTTACCCCGAATCGGTAGCTCAATAATGATGTAATGGATTGTGTCAGTGGCCCAGGTGGACAATTTAGGTAGTGCTACTCCGGGATCTCCGGCGAATGATAAAACTGGATCCTGGGTTCTCTGAGCTGTGTTTCCAAAGGGTTCTCTCTCTGTCAGTTGAATATCGTGAGTGAATGTGAGCAAGATGCGGGGGAGGTCACTTATAAGCTTTCATGTACGATCTTCCGCTACTTACTTCACTTCCAGCTCTGGTGGGAATGGTGTGGATGACTACTTTATTACCTGATCAGCCTTTCCGAAAAGGGTGAAAATGCTTTTGGGGCTTGATTCATTGTTGAAGCTGACCAAAACATGCCTCAGTTCTCGAGATGTTGGTCAAGCTTTGTCAACGCCCATTTTACATACGAGCCAATCGTCAAGCAATATCCATGCCTCCCTCCTCGTGCAAATAGAGCCACACCCATGCGGGAAGTGTTACTAAACAAAGCGAAAATTACATATAAGTTATTAATATTTTAGCTACTTGAAGGCTGGTTTGTTTGTTTGTTTGTTTGTGTATTTTTCGTCTGGGTGGCTGTAACGAAGCCAAATCTCCTACTGGAGCAAAAGACGTGCTGAGCTAGCTAGGTACAGGATACCCCGCTTCCTTCACCATCCAGCATACCAAGGCACAAAAGGCGCTGTATTTTCTCGAGCCCGTCACCCGTCAGCGGGTTCGGGGGCATACTGTCGACTTTTTCCACCGACCAGAATTCTCTCACGCATCGCTACATCTGCTGACGCAGTCCACAATCTCCAGTAACCAAGTTGTAGCTCGTAGTCGTATGTCGTGGCGGCAGGGAAAAACCTTGGGAAGGAATCAGAGGCCGGCGGTGCGGCTTGCCTTCAAAGGGGAAAAACCCATCGCAATCGGCGTCGTTGATCGGGAGGATGTCGCTACCGATGCCACGGGCACCGTCCTCCGATATCTAAGGCGTTCTGGTTCTGAGGTGCCGCCATTAGATCCGACAAAGGTGTTGTCAGAGAAGGCGAACTCTCCAAATTCCTTCTCTGAAAACTGCTGTTAGGGAGCCGATAGCGTCCCCGCAGTTTTTGTGTGGTCGCGTGGCCTGCAGAAAATCCCGCTCCTAGCACCGCACTAACAGTGCGTGCCAAGAAAGAATTTTTACAGGAGAGAGTTGACTTGAAGGCTGGTTGAAGTAATTTGGTCGAGTTTAGGGTAGGTCCTAGTTGGAGTCCTACCATCCAGTTCCGATGTAACTACTACTAATTCTCGATGACATAACTTTATGATACCTGACCTCAGGAATTCTACTAGCAAGCAACTTTGTCTTGTCCAAGGCAGAAAAGTCACGGTAGATTCAACCTAGAAGGTAGATGTGAAAGGCAGAATCGATACTTGAATCACAATGGGTTTTAGGACAGAGCGATCTGAAAAAATGCAGGTATGGCCATCAGGTCTAATAGAATTTTTGACCTTGCTAATTAAAGGTCTGATAGTCACCAGGTAGTGTGAGCAAGAAACGGCATTGTCATTGGCCTGGAATGACTGCCCATACCGGAAGGCCACTGAAGCTTTTTTAGTGATCAACTGTAAGCCCAAGATGTTCACATTGGACGAGAAAATCCCAACTGCTGATGAGATGAGGGATCAAGGATTCAAGATAGATGAACGGCGGATAAAGCTGAACCGATGCTGGGCAGATAGGCCTATCGAATTACAGATTCACCAGGCCATCTAGGGAAGCGCTCGTAGCTCTCGTACCCCTCCAGCTAACACGAAAACAAAATCATATATGATGAACATATAGTGCCTTATTGTGCAACTACACGGGCTCGTTAGAAGAAGTGTTAGAAGAAAGGACAGCTGGCAACCGATAGGCTTGGTTAATACGAATACAGAGTGTGAAGAATGAAGTTTGATTGGCAAGGTCGTATCTGATAAGGACCGTGCAATTCGGCTTTTGCTCAAGTCAGGATAGTTTAGAAGAAGGTGCCTAGATCGAGCTAATAAATCGAATCTTCTCCTGAAAACTCAATTCCCAAGGCTTACTCGAGCCAGGATGCCTTGGTTGCCACCGGCTCCAAAGGCTGCTCAGTTGTCAAGGCCATCAGAATCCTGATGATTTATCGGCTCGCCTGAATATCTGACAAGGATTTTGGACCCGGCGGGACGCACGTCTTGTCTCGGTAGAGGACCCTCTCCGACAGATGAGACCTGTTAGATTTATTAGGGACACGACAAGGGCATTCATTCGGGTAGTCGGGCCCTAAATTGGTCACCTTTTAGAATACGGGACAATGCCGTGAGTTTTACCTTGCCAAGACCTCAAATGCCGTCTACCACAGGCGAAGTGAATCAGAATGAGAGAAAGGGGCTCGTCTACTGCCGGTACTCCGCAGCTACAGTCATAGAGTAGCAGTCCATTGATCAGGAACTGGTCATGATATTTAATAACCACCTAGTATAGTGCCTGAGTTTCATGCACAAATCAGAGACCCATCCGATACGAGATGGGGACTTCTTGTTGCCCCTGGATTTGTGGGTTGCAGGTTCCTGGATATTTCAACTTCAAATGACATAAAAATTCTGAAACGCAGGAGCTAAAAGATTACAGAGAGAGTATGCCAGGGTCAGAGCGAAATACTGGAGTATTGGACGTTAGATGAGACTTATTGGATAAAAACGCGATATAGGGATCATGTGTCATGTGGGCACTTTGATGGGCTTGAAATAATGTACACGTGCGGAGGTGATCAGCAGCCGGATCGCTGTGGACTGAAGATCATTGATGCTATGGGTAGTCACTGTTTTGTTCCCATCTCATCGCATATGACGAGAAGCAGTTCTAAACTACCTGAGCTACCTGTGAAGTAATTGAGTTCAGTGTATTAATTTGTCACCGTTGAGATGAAAGCTACGTCCCCAATCCTAATGCTCGGTGGTCAGACAGCATTTATCATATACCTTTCAATGACAGACAACTTCAAGCGATCTTCATGATATTTGTGCTTATTGTTGCTTCGGATTTGCTGCAAAGCCTTTGTAGGAAATACCAACAGGTGGGGAGCACTTGTTTGACCTCTTTATACTTGGCATGGGGCTCGAACTATGCTTGCACTTTATTGTCACAAACTTCTAAAACATTATCCTCAAACGAATCATTTCCTTTTTGGAGGCCTAGAAGCTGTGTCGCGTGCAGATATGCAGTGCGCCACGGGGTTCCATGGATGTTAATGCCAAGAGACCTAACGCCTTCAGGTCCACTCCGCACTTTGGTGCTGCTGGGTTAACAGTGTAAGAAGAAGGACAACTTGTAACTTGGGAGGAGACCTTAGGAAAGACGTTGTTATAACCAGAAAACTACAGAGAAACCAGCTCTTGAAGAGTTATGCTCATATATCCAAAGTTAGAGGTGGAAGTTGCCGTTCAATACAATCGACGCCAACAGGTCTCACTCTCGGAGTGTTCCAGTGATCACACATAACCCCCCCAAGTGACTTCTGTACTACCTCAGACACGGCGCTACGGTCCCCTACCATGACGGCCCCGACTTTAACTATTGCCCTATGAGGATTAGCTCCTCCGCCTTTCCAATGCACTACTGTACGAATGGAGTCCTTGCGACCACCTAAGCCAGCAGACCTGGACCAACCCAACTCATTACCATTAGCCATCCTGGGTATCCTTTGCCATCACTAACTTATGAAAGCCCCATCGTATCCCCTGCTCTAGTCCTTCTTTTGTCTCCATCATGACCGCTCTTCCTCCTCAACCTGATCCCATCTCCTCGCCATTTCCCTCCTCACCATCACACCCTTCGTCTTCGAAACACGCAGCAGCTCCAGATCGCCCCGAATCCCCCGAATCTCTTCTCATTGACGACTCTCTATCAGCCAAAGACTCGAGTCCCCTGAGATCAGTGGCAGGATCGTCATCAGGCACAACAAGAGTGGCTACATCGCGGAACTCTGGCCTGGGTGGAGGAAATCAAACGATAGCTGGCCCGTCTCGTGAAACCGGCTTGAGGTCTTTCAACGGTGACGAGGAAAGCGAGAGCGACTGGGATATAGAAATGGAACCCATTGCAGGACACCGTCGACGGCGAAGTAGCCACAACATGGCTGGTCGGCCAGTTGGATCACCTAGCCGAACCCGTGTCACAAGCCGTGGTCCCGCACCCACTGGCTCGACAGAAGAACCTAAGATATCCGAAGAAAATTTGGATGCGAACGGCTTTGCGATCCAGAAGGATGAATCCGCCGATGACAGCTTGAGCGATGAAGACCTCCAAGACGACGAGGAAACAGGATTGACCCGTAAAGACAAGCAGAGGCGGCAGAAGAAGCGCAGCAGAAATACTCAGCTGGATCAGCGGATCGTCAGGGACAATAAGGCTATATCAAAAGAGGAGCGCAAAGAAGCAGACAAGACCGTTTTCAAGAGCTTGATGGTAAACGTTGTGTTGATTCTTTTGTGGTACCTCTTTTCGTTATCAATATCGATTGTACGAAACGGCTCTTGCGCCCCGTTCCCAGATAACTCGATTGCTGACATATTTACAGTACAACAAATGGATGTTTGATCATGACCGGCTGAACTTTGCATTTCCTTTGTTTACGACGTCTATGCACATGGTGGTTCAATTTGTTCTCTCAGGTCTAGTTTTGTACTTCGTGCCCTCCTTGAGACCGGGATACGGTGTTCATCTGTCAGATATGGGCAGGTCGAGACACGATGACGAGCCCAAGTCTTACGGCATGACCAAGATGTTTTACCTCACTCGAATTGGACCTTGTGGTGCAGCTACAGGCCTAGATATTGGACTTGGCAATACCTCTCTCAAGTTCATTAGCCTTACATTTTACAGTATGTTGTCTCTGCATCTGAGCTATTGAGGTAACTAACCTTTGCTTTAGCTATGTGTAAATCCTCCTCACTTGCTTTCGTTCTCATGTTTGCATTTGCTTTCCGCCTCGAAACCCCGACATGGCGCCTTGTCGCCATCATTGCTACCATGACACTCGGTGTCGTGCTCATGGTGTTTGGTGAAGTTGAATTCAAGGTGGGAGGCTTCGCCCTCGTCATCTCAGCTGCCTTCTTCTCTGGCTTCCGCTGGGGACTGACCCAGATCCTGCTCCTCCGCAACCCTGCGACGTCAAACCCATTCTCCAGCATCTTCTTCCTTACTCCAGTCATGTTTCTCGTGCTTATTTGCCTTGCCGTGCCCGTGGAAGGAGTCGGAGCTCTCATTGAAGGCTACAAAGTTCTGGGCGATGAATGGGGTTATTTCATGGCGCCCCTTTTCTTGCTTTTCCCTGGTTGCATCGCCTTCTGCATGACGGCCTCCGAGTTCGCTCTGCTGCAGCGCACTTCCGTCGTCACGCTCTCCATTGCTGGCATCTTCAAGGAGGTTGTTACTATTAGTGCGGCTGCTCTTGTCTTTGGTGACCGCCTTACACCCATCAACTTTGTTGGTCTACTCACAACCATGGCCGCTATCGCTGCCTACAACTACATCAAAATCACAAAGATGAGGCAGGAGGCGCAAGAAAGTGTTCATATTCGGCATGTGCACGACGATGACGCGCCAGACTCCCCTACGAGCCAGACTAGCGGAATCATAGACCGCGATGGGGATACAGACGCGGAAAACACTGGTCTACTCCGTGACAGCATCGACGGCTTAGATCTTGATGTACAACCCCATGCGCCAGCTAATGAGCGTCGCTAAGGGAATAATCGTTTCAACGTCACAACTTCCTTTTTTATATCTGAGCCTGTATATAACGACTCTATGGGCCACCTTTCTTTGTCATACTGAGTGAGAGTCGATACAATGACTCGCCATCTTTTGTTTATATGTATCATAACAACGGCGCCAGGGGTTACTTGGGGGATAGAATCTAGGATGGGAATTTTCTCTATATATGGTGATATTAGAAGAGCAAGAATATCAATATACCCAGATACCACACATAATCTACTTGGTCAATATTCTTGCCAGATGATATGCACCAAGTGTTGCATGGAACGGTACCTTCCTAGGTCAATACCTACGTTCAAGGCACAAGTGAAGAGTAAAACCAAGCCAGCGACTTTTTGAAGGACATGGTCAACACGAAATAAGATGATCGAGTTATACCATTGCAATGTAAACGAACCCAGATACCCTGCAGTGGACCGGATATTCTTCATGGAATTACTACACTTAAACCGGGTATGTACGATCCCTCTGCAAACACCAAACACCAAAACGCAACACTTGCTCCGTCGAACAGTTCGTCAAACGCTTAGCCAAGCAGGCGAAGGCCATTCTTGGTCTTTTGTCCAGGCTTGACCACTCCACTGCCACCCATGGGCCCTAAGCTGGGTTCATAGCCAGCCCCATGATTTCCACCGCCATGACTACCCTTCTTATTTTTATTCTTCTTTCCATGTCTGTCCTTCTCCTTGACATTGGCTACCTTGATTTCGGTGTTGGCTTTGCGAACTGTTACAGGGTGACTCTGAATGTATTTGTTGTTCATTTCTTTGGCGGCTTGGAAAAAGTCGTCAGCGTCGCTGAAACTGACAAAACCGTAGCCCTTGGACTTGGATGTACGCTTGTCACGAATGACACGGGCCTTTTGGACAGATGGCCAGCGCGAGAAAGCCTTGAGAAGGGCGTCGTCAGTGGTCTCGCCTGCAAGATTACCGACAAAAAGTCGTAAATGGGAGGGATCCCATTCGAGAAGACTGTCGTCTGTCCACTTCTTACCACCGCCTTCTCGGATGACTGTCTTCTTTCGCTCCTGATTTGCAGTGGTAGCCGCCGCGGCCGCAGAAGATTGGCCATCTGTTCGAGGCCCGGCAAACCCAGGGGCCTTATCCTTGCTATCTGTCGGGGTGCTCGAATATGCGCTCTGCCATTGCGCTATCTGGGCGGCCATCTCGGGGTTGTAGTCGGTCCCCGCAGCGCCTGGCGTAGGGAATGGATTCGCAATCTGTGGTGCTGCGCCATAGCTTTGCGGTTCGTAGCTCTGAGGGCCATAGCTTTGTACGCCGTAGTTCTGGGTACTGTAACTCTGTGGCTGTTGAGGATACGAATATGCGGGACCCGAGTTCACCGCGCCGGGAGCAGAAGTCGGGTACGAAGAGTACGATGGGCCATACTGAGTTGTGGATGGGGCATTGGGAGCAGAGTAACTCGAAAGGCCGGAGTACGTCGGCGGAGCGTTCGAGTACGCTGGCTTCGAAGCAGCCTGGGCCGCCGAGGAAAACGCAGGTTTGAAGCCTGACTTGGAGGCGGGCGGTCTCGGTGGGAGAGAGCTGTTGCTGATGCCTGGAGGAGGAGGGTACGCCATGATGAATACAAGCGGATATACGAGGAAGCGGTGTAGTGTTTGCAAGAAAACGTACCTTGAGCCAGATTCTGCTCAAGTTCCTCTTTCAAGAGATTCCCAGCGTCCGCAGCTTTTATCGAAAGGGTTCGGCGGTGCTTTGCGGCGGTGCGACGCGATTGCGATTGCGATGGCAACTGTTGGTGTATGGAAGAAGATGGATCTGATGATAGCCTTCTATGATTCGCTCTAGCCTCATTTTCCGGAAAACGGCCTAAATTAAGTGGGACTTGAACATCACGTGCCCTCTACGAGATACTTCCTCTTCAGATATCCTCATACCTTAGTATAAAATAAAAGACAATGATTATGATGGGAACTCGATTCCAAAATACTCTTTCCAGAATAAGATGCCACTGAAGAACGTATATCAGGGCGTTGTCACAGCCACTGCGAGCATGAATAAGGGGACGGGAAACATCCTGCTCCTCCACGTATATTTTCAGGGTAATTAAGCTTCTATGAATACTATCTCAAGCCACATAGGTTCAATTGTATGGCTGAAGTCTCAAATGCCAAGACCTGGTGTTGCTTTCTTGAATCAATATATTATGAAACCCCCCGATTCTCACTTGTCATGGGTCGCGATGTCTGGCACAATGGGCGTTGTCGCCTGTATTAAGCAGCTTGCACCCCCACGAGCTGGAGTGGGTGATGTGCAGCCTATGTCTTCAGCGTTAGAGCCTCTTCGGATTATGAAATCCTATGGCAGATAGATTCCTCGGCTCGGAAGCAGACGGACTTGACGGTGTCTCAAAGCTCTTGTTTGGAGAGAAAGATACCGACCAATCCGAAAGATTTCATGGTAATAACGGGCAAGTTGGAGAACTCTCAACATCATGGTGCATCCATACTTTTCGTGACAACATTGGTTCTTGGGGGTTATCGTGACCTTTGAACATTCAATGAACCCGTAGTTACGGTGGCTCTTTTCACCTTGGGGTGGGGGTTAATATTGTATATAGCGCATAGCAAGTTCTGGAACTTGACAAAAATGTGTATCCGCACCTATTATTTGAGAGGCTGGATGAATGTTCGGATAGTTTAATCTCCATGTACATGGGATGAGTGAAAATGGACGACTTGATCCGTTCTCAAGATAATTTCGGCGGCAGAATTTGGCGGCTAATATGGACCGAAGCAAGCGGAACTTGATTATTACCTTTTATCCCGATATCAAATGTTACTTGCATCTCCGATGGGGATTTTGAGTCTGCATGAGCCGAGTCAATCGGAATTCGGTGTTACCAAGCGTGGCTCAACAGCATCGTCTTGTTGTCGCTTTAAAGTATCCGGCTGCCGAAGCAGGCTGAGGCATCCTGAAGCGGGTATTGCTTGGCCAGTCTGAGGCTTGACTCTCTGTCTCATGATCTCCTTGGCTGTTTCGTCATGAGCGACTTCGGACACTGGTGAGGCTATAAGTTGGTTCGGCGCTTATACCGCGCTGTGGCACTGTTGCCGGGTTAAATTCCGGTGGAGCATTTCGGTCAGGCTGGACTCATGAACTGGGCTGAGAGTGCACCTGGGTTGGTTGAGAGTACACCTGGACTGAGCTCAGCGTTTGCGGCCTTTTTCTTTGGGATTCTCCGTATCCGCCTTCGGGGCATTCGGTACGGATTCGCGAAGGCTAAGGCGCGTTGGGGTTCGGGCTACTGTCCGATGAACAAGTCAATTGGCACGGTAGTGATTACACGGGCCCGGAAGACGTGGGTCCCAACACTCGGACAGCATTGCAGGATCGCAAAGAAAGGCTGGGCTTGGAGGTTATCCCAACAAGCATAAGCTTCAAGAACAAGCTGAGACGAGGAGATGTCGATACCGCGTACGGGACAGGTCTAGGACTAAGGACTTGACTATGGATGCTAGTGAGGCGAGGCGGATACCACGGAAAGCAATTCATCCAGACTAATATGCGGCGAGCTTTGTACGAGATTTGTGTTGCTTGTGTCACGGTTTCAAAAATCTTGGTAAGCTTTGGGGTTCATCTTGGGGGTAAGACCGCAGCAGCACCGCAGAGTCGTCATAACGTTGGAGCTGAGGGGCGTAGAAGGGGGGACCTGGAGGGGTAACGCTGCGAGGCGCTACAGTCCACTAAATAAATGTGAGGGAAAATCCCATCTCTGGAACTTGGTGTCCGTAAACGATGGACCCCTACTGATGGTCATTGGCCAGCCAGCAGGTACAAGTCCATGCTGTTGACCAGGGAGGAGTGGAGGGGCATTACCTCAGTCATGATGATGATGGCTGCTGAGGAATTGATGCAAAGTTAGTTTGTATTGGCAACTGTAAGTGTTTGCAGGGCTGGCATAGCGGATGAGTAGATTGCCTTAGTAACGATGATTAAGGCAGGATGAGTGGGAGATCAGCTAGATACAGCAATTACTCATAATCACCGAGCTGTAGTCAAGGTGATGTAAATGGAAGAAAAACACCCATCATCTGAGTATCAATCTCGGCCGCACCACAGTGACGATGACGATGAATAGTTGAGAAGAGCCCCGCCAATCAAGGTGGAAGCTCCACCATACTTGGCGTTATGCCCGACCAGGTCAATTGTATTGGATTGAGCCTTTTGAAGCGCATTGCGTCGCGTTTGCTTAGTTGAGCCAAATGCAAAGCGGTAGAAAGAAAAAAAAAGGTGGGCATCCTTCCAGCTCAGACAGGAGGTGACTGGGAGGTGAGTGCGGACAAGGTACCGAGCGCCCAACTTTGGCACGGGTGTGACAACATTCATCGCCAGGTATATTTCTCTACAACTTTGCATCTCCTCCCACCTTCTTCCCTTCCTTTTCTTTCTCTCTTCATACATCTTCAAAAACCCCAATCTATACCTACCACTCCCCGATCGCATATCATAGCCCATCATGTCTGGCCCTGTGTAAGTTGAAGCTTCCCTCATACCTCATCTCTTGACATTTTCCCCCCCCCCCCCGCCACAGCCTCATGGTGATGCTCTCATGCTCTCATTCCCGCGCCCTCCGGGCGCTGGAGCGAGAAATGAAGGGATCGCCATATTGAATCCGTGCCTGGACTGTTTGGGGCATTCGCAGTCTTCATCCTCATCGTGATCATGGCTCATGTTCTCGAGGTAGAGCTCGTCTCGCTCACCTCAACCTGGGTGCCCCTCAACAGCACAATTCCTTGACCTCACTCTCAAGCTCTGCTACGAATCAAAATGCGACGAATGCTGACATTATGGCAAGTGCGGATCTGGGCCTCATCGGCCTTGCTGTCATGTAAGTTTGACCCATAAACCATTCACCTGGCAATGCCAGTGGTAGCTCATACTCACACGCTTCATAGGGGACAGAACCTTATTCTGAACATGGCTGACAACGGCTTCACCATCTGCGCCTTCAACCGAACCGTCTCCAAGGTCGACCGATTCCTGGAAAACGAGGCTAAGGGCAAGTCCATTGTCGGCGCCAAGACTGTTGAGGAGTTCGTCAGCAAGCTCAAGTCTCCTCGCCGTGTCATGCTCCTGGTCCAGGCTGGTCAGGCTGTCGACGACTGGATTGAGAAGATTCTGCCCCTCCTTGACGCCGGCGATATCATCATCGACGGTGGTAACTCTCACTTCCCTGACTCCAACCGCCGCACCAAGTATCTTGCTGGCAAGAACATCCGCTTCGTCGGCTCTGGTGTCTCTGGTGGTGAGGAGGGTGCCCGATATGGCCCCTCTCTCATGCCCGGTGGTAATGAGGAGGCCTGGCCTCACATCAAGGACATCTTCCAGAGCATTGCCGCCAAGAGCGACGGCGAGGCTTGCTGTGAGTGGGTTGGCGACGAGGGTGCTGGTCACTACGTTAAGATGGTTCATAACGGTATTGAGTACGGTGATATGCAACTTATCTGCGAGGTATGAAGAGATAGAGATAACGGCCGCCTCACACAGAAGACTAACCAAGTATTATCAGGCTTACGACATCATGAAGCGCGGTCTCGGTCTCTCCAGCAAGGAGATCGGCGACGTCTTCGCCAAGTGGAACAAGGGCGTCCTGGACTCTTTCCTGATTGAGATCACCCGAGATATCATGTACTTCAATGACGATGATGGCACTGCCCTCGTTGAGAAGATCCTCGACAAGGCCGGTCAGAAGGGTACCGGTAAGTGGACCGCTGTCAACGCTCTTGACCTCGGCCAGCCCGTGACCCTCATCGCCGAGGCTGTCCTTGCCCGATGCCTGTCTGCCATCAAGGACGAGCGTGCCACCGCTTCCACCAAGCTTGAGTTCGTCAGCCGAACAACCAAGTTCGAGGGTGACAAGGAGCAGTTCCTCGAGGATCTCGAGCAGGCTCTGTACGCCTCCAAGATTATCTCTTACGCCCAGGGCTTCATGCTCATGCAGGAAGCTGCTCGTGAGTTCAACTGGAAGCTCAACAAGCCCTCCATTGCCCTCATGTGGCGAGGTGGTTGCATTATCCGATCCGTCTTCCTCAAGGACATCACCCACGCCTACCGCTCCCAGCCCGACCTCCAGAACCTTCTGTTTGATGACTTCTTCAACAAGGCCATCCACAAGGCTCAGCCCGGCTGGCGAGACGTTGTTTCCAAGGCTGCTCTCCTTGGTATCCCCACCCCCGCCTTCTCTACCGCTTTGTCCTGGTTCGACGGTTACCGCACCAAGGACCTCCCCGCCAACCTTCTCCAGGCTCAGCGTGACTACTTCGGTGCTCACACCTTCCGCATCAAGCCCGAGAACGCTAGCGACAAGTACCCCAACGGCCAGGACATTCACGTCAACTGGACCGGCCGTGGTGGTAACGTCTCTGCCTCTACTTACCAGGCTTAAGTTGCTTGTCGGGGTAAAGAGATGGAACTATGATTGGTTAAAGAATGAATACCACCGGGCTGTACGAAGCTCGATCGCTGCGTTTTTATAAAAATCTGTGCTTTGGTACACAGAACACGGTAACGCTGCAAGGATAATGATGAATGGGCCGGTACGGATTTAGAAAGCTTAAGTGATGAAATTCAGGTTTGCGTTTAGAACCTGATGAGAAGCATGAAAACAAGATCAAATAATATTTTCCGAATGAAATACACAAATCGGTGATACGTGAAAGTTCCTGGTCGTGATAACCGTTGTAGGACTCAATTTATTGTTTGCCCAACAATATGAAGTAAAGTTGCTCCACTTGTGCATGATTTACTTGTGATTATGTCTGAGAGTCTTCATCCGCACTGCTCAATACTTTTTAAAGATCGCTCTTACCCGCAGGCAATTCAACACAATATCATCTATCAAGGATTAAGTTATATAAATTACCAGAACTTGCTTAACGACCTCGTTCTTTCCCCATGGAGGACAGGAACTCGAGACCCGCTTTTACTTGCCCAGCTCCATAGTTCTGATTGGCTATCTGCACGTTCGCAGCCTCGTCGCGAGAAGTTTGGAGCCGCGCAAGGGCATTGACTTCTAACAACTCCATCGCAAGTCATATCGTGAATTGCGCCACGCCATCCCTTCACCTTCTCAAAGTCAACCCATCTTGGCTTTTTCGGCACGCTAAATGTTGAGCAACGCGCATACCTGGAGATCATCAATCGCGTAATTAGATATACCAACACGCCTAATATCGTCCATCGCGACGCTCGCCCACTATGGCTCAACCGGATCCTAGCCAGGGCGTCCCTCAGGACCTTGTATGTAATGCATACGCGCAACGATGCAATGGGCATCGCAACATCTTTCTGACAGTCCTTTAGATGCCCCACGTCCATCTGATCTCTTCATTTCGATACCCTGTGATGCCTCGACTTGACCTAAATGAGGTTGCTAAGTGGCTTATGGCTGCACCACAAGTCGCGCGAGACCGGGCGCCCTTTTTCTGGACATATCTCGATAAGCCTACAGACGGCACGATACTTTTGACCTGGCAGCCCCTTCAGCGTTTGGGAACGACCTTCGCAACCGATGGTTATGTCTGGGCGCCTCCAGAACAGGTCTACAAGCATGATCTGGGCAATGGACTGGTAAGGACAAGATGAGTAATGGACAAAGGGACAGCCTGCTGAACCTCACTAGATGCTCGAGATTTACTATCAGAAAGCTGGTTACATCCCCGGCGAGCAGTACGCTCTCCACGCCCGTCGACGATGCCGACTAGTCCCTATCCCTGGTCATCCTAATCCTCCTCAACCAGACGTCGGCCTCTTCATTGTGCATTACGGACCCGCCGAACCGAATGACAGAGTTCCTGTCTCCATGATTCCCTTTGACGAAAGAGTCAACAGCATTATGCAGCAGCGCCACTTTTTGCAGCGCGCTGGCCAGATTCGTCGCAAGGAATTCATGTTATCCGACCGAGTCAACTGGCCTACCCTGCCTGATCTCACCCGTCAGCCGGTACCTCCCCAGATGGCCCCTCGAGGCGTTCCTCAACAGATGGCATATCCCACACAACCCGCACCGGGTCCTCCTGCTAAACGAGCGAGGCACGCCGCTGGCCAGAGTGGCCAGACCCCCCTACCAGGAATGCCTCAGCTAGACGCTGCCTTCGACGATGAAGAGGATGTTTCGCGAGGAGATATGTTTGACCATCTTACTCCAAGAGAGATTTCTATGAGCCGATACCAGCAGAACCACGAGTGGATGGAAGAGATCCTCTCGTCTCCTTATAGGATAAGCCAGATCACCCCTGCCGATTTAAACCTCGGTTTCAAGGGTGAATTGGCATATTTGACCGAAGGCATCTTTCCCGCGCAAGGAGTTGATGCCTCCAATTCCGTACCCGAGAAGCCGTATATCGGCCGGCTTGATCCCGAAAAGGCTGATGAATTCCGCAAGCGAGTCTACAATCACATTGAGTCAACCAAGGCCGAGATAGAGAAGATGCAGGCCGACCATGCCGCAGCTCTTGCAAAGTTCAAGGAAAATTCCATCCTCAGCACAAAGGAGAAGGAGCTTCGAAACACTGTCGAGGGTACAGGCACTGAGATTTGGCGAATTGAGGGCAAGGTTGACCCCCACGACGAGGATGCTGTTCCTCGTCCCGTCAGTACGAAAACAGTCGAACAGATAGTGTCTGAAGTCGAAGCTGCTACGGGAAAGAAGGTTGATACTAAGCCGACGGTATCTCGTGTTCAAGATGGAGGTTATCAGCCACCAGCACCAGAACCCGTTCAGGCTGACGCTTCGCAACTATCTCGTCAGCCATCGCAATCTGGCTCGCAGAACAGCGGCATCATGATTGGCGAATCTGATATCGATATGGGTGGCACTGCTGCTGGATTACTCGATCAGATGCATACTGGCATTTCCAACACCTCTACGCCTCTGAACAACTTTGGAACCCCTCAACCTCAATTGTCAGCGGCTCAGTCTGGGGCTGGAACACCTTCCAATACCACCGCAGTTGGTTCTGGCGGTGACGTGACGATGGGCGGAACTCAGGGGCCAAAGGATCACACAACAGCGCCCGATCAAGGAACTGGTAGTGGAGACTGGGTTGTTGTGCCCAAAGATGGCACTGCGAACGATCAAGCGAATCAGGGACCTGGCTCGGGTGCCGCTTCTGTTAACGCAAACACACCCACTACTGCAGGAATTGACGCTGCCAAGTCAGTAGCTAAGACAGCGTCTGCTGGTGCCACCCCAGCAGCTGGGACACCCGGCGGCTCTGTCTCCTTTGACCAAAACGACTTCAGCTCCCTTGGCGACCTTGACACAGCAGGCGATGCCCTTAACTTTGACGGCCCTACGCTAGACGGCGCAGCAGGCGAGCTGGGTGAGGGTCTAGATCTCAGCATGGACATGGACGACTCAGCATTTGGAGACGCTTTCCACGGCGTTGAAGCCTCTGGAACTCCCCAGGGTCAGGATATGTAGAACGCACCCCTGTCTGGCGAGCCGGAGAATGAGTTCTATTGAAAAGGGGGAAAGAATGTTTTTACTGAAAGACCGGAATTGGTTCTCAAGACGTCGGAGAATGGCGCGTCTTTGTTATCATAGGGAGTTTTTCCTTTTCTTCGGCAATGGGGGGCTATAGGACTTGCTTTTTGTTAAGAGTTTTTAGGTACTGTCTCGGATCACCAAGGCCCGATGTAAGACATTAAGCTTTATGCCTACGAAATAGGAAAGTAGCTTGTAGACTAGAGGCAAGTAAAATCCACAGTTGAATAATTAATATGGTCTGTCTTGTATATATGTGCTTGATTTTAACATTATTTGGCCCTGCGCTGGCCGGAGCCCTTGCGGCTATGAGAAGTTATGATAGAAAAACTGAGCTTATGATTGAAATATACTATGCAAGCTAAAACTTATGTCATAATAATAATACTAAACTCACGACAATACCCTATCAAGTGACTCAAGTAAGGGGTCGTCGCCCTAAAGTAATGGTTACCTTCACGACCACGCACTCCAACTGACTCGAACATGAAAGCTCATCGCCATTCTCAACTTGTTGACACGTTGCTCTTCCATTTTAATTGCTACATTATTGCTCGAGCTGTAGATTATGATACAATATCTGCTATGATGGGAATATATATGGGGCCGGAAGGAAATTGCTTCTGGTTTTTATGAACAGAGCGGTTCAAGTGAACGAATGTAATATCATGTAAGGTAATGAGGGCTTTTCTATATTCTATACAGTGACAAGTTCCCAATCACATCATCTCAAAAACACAGACGACAAAGGGAATATTGCCAAGACTCCAAACACATCCAGCATATATCCATACAAAGTCCAGCACAAAGGAAAAGTAGCCAGCGCTGTTCGCCAAATCAAGACGGCATTCCAGCTCGTATGTTGGCGTATGCACTCGTGGGGTATTTCAAAAGATTGTTGACCGTCTCAAGAGTGCCCAATGTGCGCTTTACACCGGAAACGATGCTCTGGGATCCAACCTTATCTCCACTCGCCTCCCAAAAGAAAGCACCGCCAAGGTTTCGCTGGTTGATATAAGCGGCTTTGGCCTGACCCGATTTGAGATCATCGTAAGTAACAAGTTCCCGCGTCTTGCTGTCATATGAGTAGCTGGCTACGAGGTCTGCGTCATAGGTAGCTTTGGCACCAGAACGTGGCAACGCCTTGTATAGGTAAGTTCCCTCTGAGTTGCCGCCAACACCCGAGTAGGATTTGCCAAGTCCAGCGGTGTTAAGGAATGAACGGCCGTAAAGAGGCATACCCATGAGAATCTTGTTTGGGGGAACTCCTGCCGCGAGGTAATCGTTAATTGTCTTGTCAGTGCCAAGTTTTGTTGAAAGAGGGTTCTTCTTGGAAACGAAAACGTTGGCCTGATGACCGGTGGTAGGATCCCAGGAGCCAGCATAGTCGTACGCCATGAGATGCCAAGCGTCAATCCATGGGTTCATTCCTTTCAAATCCATGACTTTATAGTTTGCTGGACCGGCTGATGTAGCAACAGTAAGCATAAAATGGTAGTTTAGTTTGTTGTTCTTTGAATACTGGTCGAGGGCTTTTCTGAGATCCGAGAGTAACAAGACATAGTTGCGAGCTTCTTGGGCGTTGGCAGGGTATTCCCAATCGACATCAATTCCGTCGAAGCCCCAGTCAGTGATTAGCTTTATGGCGGAAGAGATGAACTTTTTGCGACGGTCTTGTGTGCTCACACCAGTGGCGAGATCTGGACTGTTATTCCAGCCGCCGATTGAAAGTAGCACCTGTTCGTACGTCTTAGCAGTTTCACATTAGGCTGCTTGGTCGTGGTAGTAGAATCACCTTTAAATTGCGGTTTTTCTTCTTGAGAATGTAAAGCTGTTTAACACATCCATAAACGTTCTTTCCACCCCCAGAGTCACCAGCATAGAGTCTTTCGGTGTCAGCGTAAGAGTCTGATGAAAACCTAACGCTTTGTTAACAAGTACGATATATTGATGGGGTTGATATACTTACACAGTTCCGTCTTTAGGGTTCACCTTAGCAAAGGAGTATAGAACATGTGTGATCTCCTTCACCGGCAGATTTTGGGGCTGGAAGTTCGCCCCATAGGTACCCCTGGTTCTTCATTATTAACACCCATTAGTTGCACAGAAATATGCCACAACTCACCAGTTTGTGAAGTAGAGGATGTTCCGCTTTCCAACACCCCGAGCCTCTAGGCGAGTAGGTGCGTTGTTGGCGTCATCCTCATCATCAAAGTCA